TTCTGAAACAAAGCAGATAAAGAATTCCAAATCAGGCACTGAAATGAAAAACAAACAAAAAACATGGAGGAAGTGAGGAAATCTAAGAAACCCTATGATGAATGTTGATGAGAGAGGCCAAAAGTGTCAGGCTGAATTCCATTCACGATTTAAAAAGGATTGCACAGGATAGAATGAAATGGAGGTATAGACTGCAGGAAAAATCCAACAAAAGGATGATGATGTAGCAGTTTAGATAGAATATAGTTTAAAGAAAATAAAAATGCATTGTAGCATACATCTATATACCTGAATATTAATTGTTAAATTAGGCAGATGTGTAAGTCATTTGAAACACAAAGCAATAAGCAACATAAAAAAAAAATATCTCTCAAATGGCAAGATTCTCATCATTCAGCAATTTAGAGATTTATCAGTTTACAGAGTACATACTGATGTATTAAATTACAATGATATTACTGAAAGAGGAATTTGTAAAGCATATGCAAATGTAGAAATGAAAACTGTATACACCAGGAAGATGAATGGTCATAGACCACAAAGCAGACTAAGAAGATGATGGAGAGATAATATCCAGGCAGACCTGCAAACACTTGGTGTCACCAACTGGAAAGCGATATCCAACCAGAGAGATGAATGGAGGCGGTTGATATCTGCAGCAGTGAACCTCCAGGGCTTGGAATGCTGAAGAGGAAGAAGAAAATGCAAATGTTGGACTAGCCATCAAAACGTAAAGGCCCTTTTTTGGTGGGCATTCACAACAAAGCTAGTTCTCATGGATTTTGAATGTTAGTACAAGTGGCATCATGGAAGGGATTGGCACCTCAACATGTAGTATTGCTAAAAACGGCAGTGGCAGCTCATATTTTTGCAGCCATTATGGAAACAGCCCAAAGTATTTATTTTATTGGGAAAAAAAAAGAACCTTTTTTTTTGTTTATAATTGCAGATTTTGCAAGCTCTTCTACATTACACTGGCCACAGTGATCATAATGTGGTCACAGCGTCTCTGGAATCTCTCCAGCAGCTGCTGCGTACACCTTCACCCAGCCTGCGACGCCTGCTTCTAACACGGGGTAGCATCACCAAGTCCTATATATTCAGACAGGATTTTGAGGAAGAGGAACATGCTAGAATCGACAGTGAGAATTTTTTAAAACGTTTAATTAATGTGTACTGTTAACAGAATTAGTATCAACATTTATGTTGTTGTTTGTCCATCACAAGTAATGATGACCACTGTTTCTTTCATCCACCATGGAGTTATAGTTGATTGTCTGTGAGTCCAGAGATGACTTATAAGCCCAATACGGGCTTGGTAGGATCTAGGATAGTGAGGGCAGGGAACAATGTCTGTATGTAAAGGGCCTGTAATATGGGTCTGTCTAGCCCATTTTTGCTGTTTACCTGCCCTTTCAGAGATCGTTTTGCTCTTTGGATTGACATCCGTCATCCTGTCCGGTCTTTTGCAGCAGCAGCTTCTTCTTCTTCTTTGCATTCACCAGCTGTAAACTCTGGCAGAAAGTTCTGTTGTTCATCCACTTCTAGACTGCAGTCCTGTTCTAGAACCTGAGTGTTGCGTGTGCATCCATTTTACAGATCTGACTCATTTGTATGCAGACTGCTGGTTCCTTGCCTCTCAGGCTGATGCACTCCGACTTTGAAGGGAGCTTTTAATTAGTAGACTCTAATGACTTGCTTTTAGATAGACAGTGGGTCTATTCTTGTTTTCCCTATAACAGGGCCACGGAACCCACACAGGGACAATTTGGCAGCAGCAGCCTTCCAGGTTTCATGGTTTATATTGAAGACTCTAAATAATAAATGAATTGTTAGCAGAACATTTAGCATGGTGTTGTGACTAGTAATCTCATCAACAGTTATAAGACGAAGATGGTGCTATACTAGACACATTCTGAGAAGAGATGACAGGGAATCACCAGTCAGGCACTGAAATGGGAAATAAAGGTCCTGAAGAAATGAAAATGTTCAAGAGAAACCCTTAGGCAAATGTTGGTGAGTGAAGCTGAAGGTACTGGCCTGGATTCCATCCATGATATCGTAGTGATTGCACAGGATAGAAGGGAATGGAGAAATAAACTGTGAACCCTAGATGATATGTTGTGGCACAACAGGACAATGAATGAATTGTTAACAGAGCATTTAGCATGGTTTTGTGACTAGTAATCTTAATCTGTATTAATGATCTGTTTTTTAAAGTATAGTCACTACAGAATTTTCATTCCTTGGTTTTGGTAAAATATTACAATGGAGTTTTATCATAGTCATAACATTTGATGGAAGACTCGAGACAGAGATTAGGTCTAGAACAAGACAAGGAAAAGATGAATATTATCTCGTGTAATAAGTCACTCTCTTTAAATGTCAGAGAGTATGGATGTTGTCAAACCTGTTCTGTCACATGGCAGTAAATCTTGTGATGAAATAAATAAATTGGAATAAGAAAGAGCATTAGAAGCAGCAGAGCTGTAGTATCTAAGACTGTTACACTTACCTTAGACAGCCAATTAAAAAAAATGCTTTAAAATCTAATTGGCACGAATTCCAAGCTACTGAAAAATCAATAGTTTGTGTTTAATAATTCATGCAAACTGTGGGCTCAGATTAAAACATCTATGGGGGCATAAATTGTGTTCGTGTTATCTGATTGTTCCTCTTAAACCAGTTATGGTAATGAAGTTTTACTTTAATTGCCTGGAGAAGGCTAATAAAAGTAGAAAATTATATGTAACTTTAACAAGCAGGCAAGCTTTATTCTCAAAGGCATGTTATGAGAAGAAGAGATATTAGAAAATGTCGAGCGTCTAGCCACTCTGCCACGGCGACCCCCAGTGGCTTGGAGGAGTATGAATATTATCGAAAGAATTGATCTAGAATACGAAGGATCAAAACCTCAAGAAAGAGAGTGACTTCCCTTCCCATTCATGCCTTGTCATGTCGCAGGGGGTGTTATGCTTTGTGAGCAGCGGGGAATATCGCATGTTCTATATTCCACAATGTGAGCGCTTTTAACGGTCCCAAAACATGTAGAACTGGCCTTAGCCACAACCCCCACCCAACAGCCTCAGCCTACGTCCCATGCGGTCTAGGTCGCACCACTGTATACAACATATATTACAGACTGCATGCAGTTTTGGAACGTAGGCTGCACTCTCTTGTGGGACTTAGGCTGCACTCTCTCATAGGGTGAGCCCTGCGACACGACAAGGCATGCATGGGAAGGGAAGTCACTCTCCCTCTTGGGCGGAAATGTTACAAGCACCAAAACATAAAATCCTGTACATCCATTTGCAATTACAATCTTGTATCGGTTTTTAAAATTCCTCATATGAATTCCTGGGCCCCATTTTTGGACGAAAATGAATAGATCCATTTCTCATTTAACAAACATGTCATAAAAGCAACAAATTAAGGATTTGTTGAAATTAGACGTTTTGGGCCAAAAGCTGCAAATACCACAGCCTACCTATAAATCACAAGACTCTGGTAGTCGCCATTTAATAGCGGACACGGAAGAAGATATGTTTAAATCGCCTTCATTTCTTTATTGTCGCGATTGACAACACATGTATGGCAAAAAAACAAAGCACACATGTTGCATTACAATTGCTTGATGCATGTTGTCATCAACGCTTGATGTATGTTGCAGACCAGATGTGTGATTTACCGTATAGGCAGCACATGTGTATAGGCTGCACTCAGTTTCTGAAAGGATAATTTTAGGAAAAATAATTTCTCAGAATTTCCCCGAGAGACCAACCCTTGTGCCATGATGTTGATCCATTGTCTAAACCTATTCGAAATATTAAACCCCAAGAGACCGAAACCAAAACATGAGTACCTTTAAGCAGTGAAAGATGGGCCGCCTAAGAGCAAGGTACAGTTGTAAGTTAAAGGTGCTAGTAATACATGATCAAGTCATCTCCATTTCAAACTCAGTGGCTGGCAATGAAGATGACGCAATATGACAGGTGTCATCTTTCAGCAAGGATTATAGCAGGAGTTAGAGGAAATGTCAGCTGACTAGTAAAGCTAGATGTTATCAGTGCAAACGGAGTCAATTACTGGTATTGTTTTCACAAGAATAGTTCAACATGTTGTTCTGTTTATTAATAAATTTTGTACAACTGACATATAGGTCTAATATTTAGAAAATATGCAGCACCTTATATGTGCATAACCTAATTGTGTAATGTCTTATATTGCAATCCAAATGTTTGGTTTGTGTTGTCATTTAAGTCTGTAATATCTTAGATTGCAATCCAAGTAAAGTGTCTTCTTCTTCATGCTCGGTGGCTGTAAACTGCCGTGGAAAGTTCTGGTTGTTCATCCACCTCTTAACTTGAGTCTTGCTCCAGAACTTGAGTTTGGCATGCACATCCATTTTACAAACTTGGCTTATTTTTATGCAGACGCTTCTCAGGCAAATGCACTCTGATTTCAGTTTGAGGTTTGAACAACAGATCAACATCATGGCACACGGGTTGTTACCCATAAGTTCTCTGTTCTACTTCTTACTCAAGTCTGAGTACGAAGTAGCTCAGCGCAGTGCACGGGCTCCTGAAATATTTTGGGTAAATTTTTAACTCACAATTTTGCCCAGGCAGCACCGTTAGGCTACTTTTATTTTTTTCTAACAGCCAGGGGATATTTTTTTTACATGCGCAGCAGTACACACAGGCGTCTGATCTTACTACCCAAAGACCAGGGAAAATTACTAGAAGTCCACGTGAAAAAATCCCAGCCCTCACTGGGGCCTGAACCCGGGACCTCTAGCACACGAGGCGGACACCATACTTCGAGACCAGGCAGCCCCCCACCACTCACAATGGAGCCCCAGAAACCCACAAGGGACCTAATCCAAGTGCATGATCCATTGTGCCATTTAAGTTTGTGATTTATTTGATAATCCAGGTATGAATATCATATGTTGTCATATGCTGTAATCCAGGTTTGTAATATATTATGTTATAAAACAGGTGTGCTGGACTTACCATCAGTCACTGATGACATGGGACTGGATGAAGATACAGATTTGAATGAGGCTAGTAGTCAGCCTGTCTCATCTAAAGGGTCCGACTCAACAACTGTCCTGTCTGAGGAAGATGTGAAATCAATTGGAAATCAAGAGAAGTGTGTCTCACTTAAAAAAAAATGTTTTTGTTTGCTTTTTAAAATGATGACAAATGCATCATTTTTGCAAATTAATATGTAGCTGAGATTTTAATTATTCCTTATGGAAAACAGGGCAAGTGGAAGGCAAAGAGATAAATACCCAGATGGATTAGCCATATGGATGTGGTGAGAAGAGAGTGTGGAGCACATCCGTGATTTTCATGATTTTGTGAGATGGCAAAATGCGACGGCCTTTGCTTATCGACATGGCACATGATGTTGATGATTCAGTTTTGAAAATCAGATTTACAAATGGGCTTTATGGTTGTCAGTTATATCTGTTTTATTTGTATACACTACACTACTGATTTGGCGTCTGTGGCTTAGGCATTGCAAACGCGCTTCGTAATGCCAGGGTGCCGGCTTTGTTCTGTTTGCTGCAGACGTTTTGTTTTGCATTGGAACATACGACTACTGGAAAGATTTGTGGAAAAGAGGTTAAAAACAAAACAGTGTGCTTGACAACTTTTTTCTTCTCATGGCATGGAGATGTCAGCGCATGAACAGATACATGCTGGTGGAGATCACATGTTGTGGAGATCACAGGTTATGGAGATCACAGGTTGTGGAGAGTTGTGAATGCTCGTACCAGTTGGCAAGGGGATGATTGTGGGTCTGTAAGTAAAATGTTTTGTGAGTAAAGATTTGTGAATAAGGATTCCTGGGGTCCTCATTGAGGAAGGGCTCAACATATTTAAAGTTACTTCAACTGTTCCAACATGCTGAGAGAAGAAAAACAATCTAGAATACAATCTGGAAATAAAGTATACTACACCCTTCAACATCTGCTAAAGTCAAAGTGCCTGTCTCGCAACACCAAGATCAAAATATATAAAAAGTTGATTAGACCAGTTGTGTTATATAACTCTGAAACTTGGAGCACAACTAAAAGAGATGAAGCCCTATTACAGGTTTTTGAAAACAGTCTTACGACGAATCTTTGGACCCATCAAAGCTAGCTACAAACAGTGGTGAATGGAGAGTGAGAAGCAACAGCAAAATTCATAATCTGTTTAAATCACCACTGATCACTGGCATCATGAGAGCTAATAGACTGAAATTGTTGGGGCGTATTGAAAGAATGTCAGATGACAGAGAATTAAAAACTGTATATACCAGGGAGATGAATGGTCATAGACCATGAGGCAGACCAAGAAGACAATGGAGAAATAATATCCAGAAAGACCTGCAAACACTTGGTGTCACCAACTGGAAAGAGAGGGCCAACCAGAGAGATAAAGGAGGTGGGTGATATCTGCAGCAATGAACCTCAAGGGCTCGGAATGCTGAAGAAGAAGAAGTTATTGCTCTGTGGCTCAGAGACTAGTGAAATGATTACACAGTGCAGTCCTCAATGTTTACAGGGCTTTGATTCCTGTGGTAGTGGTGGGGGAGGGGGTGGGGGGACCGCTTTCGTGTTTTTCAGTGGTACAAATGTCACACTGTAGAAGAGATTGGAGCCTCATTACCTAATATCCTACAGTCACCGGTGGATACATTGCAGCTAACCTCCCTCATGGCGATGGCATATACAATTTCTTCTTCCGAAGTTCAGACATACTGCTGTTTATATACTTGGGCACTGATCAGAAACTGCAGGGTGTCTTTATAGAGTTTTATGCTTTGTACGATTCTTCTGGCTGGTATGGTAAACTGCTGCTCTGCAGGGAGCGACTGAGCCATATCAGATAAAACCTGCTGCAATTTAAGTTGAGTCTCAAAACAATTTTATGTAAATGTTGTATTTCAGTTTGTCATTTGTGCTGTAAATTAAATTTGAGAGAATTCTTAAATTTATTTCATGCACTTCAGAAATGAATCTACATCAGCATTGTCAAGCCCACCAGGTGCTGAGTCAATAGTGGTGACAGATGGCAATGAATACTCTGGTATCGAGATTGGAGATTTAAATGATGAGAAGTCTGAACTGTCGGCGACGTCAGGTTTGTTCACTGGTCTAGAATTGTGATTTTTTTTCTGTATTTTCTTTTTTCATTCATATGAGTGATATAATTGAGGTGTGCCTGTTTACAGCATAGCTGCGATATTTGCGCCTTTAGGCCCACATCCGACTTCATCAGGCATTTTTTCACGGGGTTAAGCTATCTGGGTTCTGTATTTCTAAAGATGTGACACAAGCCGGTGAGGAGGGGCTGGGCGAATGGTTTGAATGCTGGACTTTCAAGCGGGAGACCCAGGTTCGAATCCTTGATGGGCAAAATAAAATCATCACCTGCACAGTCGTGGCAACAGCACTAGTTATGCTGCCATAAGCCCTCAGGCTCAAAGACCCCTGCCTACACAGTGAAAGTGGTAAAATAAAGGCAGTAATTGGCAGTTTTTTTTGGGGAGGGGAAGGGGCAGACAAGCCAGGTTTAATGTTGCTAGTTAAGGGTAAGAGGCTCTAAATAAGGTTTGGTCTGAGATTGGCTTCCTAATCCCATAGCAAGCTTCAGTTAATAAACCCAACCAAGCAGTAGAAAAAACCTGGTGTGAGTTGGTTGATGACATTTTGTCCATTGGGATATGAAATGCAGAAGAAGAAGAAAGGAAAAGTGACAGCCTGGGATTTTCTAATACCATGAAAGAATTCTGCTGTGAGACCTGGTAGATAAAAACAGTATTAAGATTGGCTAAGGTCCTTTAGTCTACTGGGAAATAAAATACAGAAAACAGAACAGTGAAGAACCTTTACACTTCAGAGCCGAAATTCTTCTTCTTCTTCGCGTTCATCAGGTGTAAACTCCAGCATACAATTCTGGGTGTTCGTCTTCCTCCAGACTTTAGTCTTTGTTTCAGAAGCTGAGTGTTGGGTTCAGATCTGTTTCTTATGTGTATGCTGACTCTTTGTTCCTGTCTGTCAGGCAGATATACTCTAACTTTGAAGGATGCTCCCAGTTAGTCAGCTCCTATGACGTGCTTATTGGGGAGTGAGTGGGTCTATTCTCGTTTTCGCCACAATGAGGCTCCAGAACCCACACGGGAAAGAATCAAAATTGAAAGATTAAACAAATCTGTCAGATCTATGAATGTTATTTTAATAATTTCATTTTTTCTGTTCAGGGATATCTCACAGTGACAGCGTTGAAACTTTGCAGAGTGTTCGAAGCATTAGCCCCCATCCAGCGTCTGTGACAGCACTGCAGCTGCCTGGACATGACATGAATGGAAATCCTCAGATCATCATTTACCCTGGGGAAGATTTCATACCACCACCAAGCCCCAACACAGCTTCAAGTGAATCTGTGGAGCAGGTAGAGAACATTGTCATAAACGTTATCATAAATAACATTAGGTGCATGCTGAATATAATGCTTTCCTCTTCTCCCTTCCTTTGTGGGTTCTGAGGCCCTATTGTTGGGGTGGGAGGACCCACAGCTCATGAATGCGGCCCCCCGCCCCCCAAAACAAGTATGTTTTAGGATATGAATTATTAGGGGTGTTTCTTTCAGAGTCACAGAATTATAGTTCTGTAACAAGATTTTAAGTCTGGAAGTGGCCAAACATTCTGAACTTTCCACCAGAGTTTACAGTTGGTTAACTCATAGAAGAAAAATTATCTTCTAATATTTAATTTCTCTACTGCTTGTGCTGTCATTCCCACTCCACACATGGCACTAACATTTCAGCTGCCAATTCTGGAAATTCTCCCAGATAAAAGGAGGTAGGTCAATGAAAGAACCCCTTTTGGCTTTATCATAATTTTGTTGTAACTCTTAGGAGAAGAGCATCCCTAAATCCAGATTTGCTGTGCATTCTTTTTTTATTTTAAGATTTATTCTTAGTTGGGTTATTTTTACAGTTGTTTATTTTTTATAGGAAGGATGGCCAGTCCTCCATAGTTACCATGTATGTTCTAATGTTGCTTGTGTTTAGGCCCCCATTAACACACTGAATCGATCTTATCTCCAGATGACATAAATACTTTCTCATTTTTTTATTTTGTTGTTCCACTATGTGGTTTCAAAAAAAAAAAAAAAAGCCTGTTCACACCTCTGGTATATTAGGCGTATGATGTAGACCCATATTTTATAGGCCAGTTGGCACCTGATAAGTTAAAGCTGAGTGTATCCACATAATTGCGCAAGATTTTTATCCCACATGGCTCGGTCTGTCTACCCCTGCTGATAGTGTGTCACTTAAAGCACAAACTCCCTAGCTCCGGCGACTGTCCTCAGGGATCTCCACAAAAGTTGCACCCATGAACCGGTGCAGCTGCTGACTCTTACAACAATCTTTTTTGGGGCGAGACAGTGAATTTATTCTTGATTTCCTCACAGTCAGTTCCCTGTTGTGCCTAGTGGCACGAGGCTTCAGAGAGGACTTTTCATGCTTTCCTGTCCTGTGCAATCTGCAGTGCAGTTTTCCATGTCAAAGATGCCGCACTCAGGTCACTTTCCATCATTCGTCTTCATATTGTTTTTGGGCGCCCCTGTTTTCTCTTTCCATCTGGTGTCCATGTGAGAGCTGTTTTGGCAGGTATACCAGGATTCATTCTCATAACGTGGCCAAGCCATTTCCATCTTCTCTTGGTTATCTTATTGTCTAAAGTTTCTTGGTTTGTGACTTGAAGTAGTTTAGTGTTTGAGATTGTATCTGGCCAGAAAATTTCGATAATTCTACATAGATGTGTGGTGGAAGGTGGACAGCTTATGTGCATCCTTTTTGGTCATTCTCCAGCATTCCGCTCCATAAAGAAGAACTGGCAAAATGATGCTTTTGCCTTATTTCCTCACAGTGGGGTCCCGAAAAACACTTAGGGATTTTTATTTATAAATATGCTCTACATGAGTACATTTGTTTAAAAATACATTGTGATGCATGTCCTCCACTGCTGAAAAACAGGAATAATCACAGATTGTAATAGCATTTGTGTTATGTTTATTTTTTTAAATTTGGAAATTTATGGGACCCCTTTTGGCACTGCACGACCTCAGTTCCTTGTTTATCTGTTTAGCTACATTAAACATTTTTCCAAAATGTGTTTGGTAACAACAGTATTTTTGTTCTATTCGTGCAGATCCAGGTGGAACAAGAATCTCTTAAAGAAGATGAAGTACCACTACTGTTTTACCTTAGGCTTCTCTGCAAAAGATTCCTTTTGACAGGTGTGCCAGATGGGCTTGTTACAGACAAGCAAGTTCGAGTCAGTCTCAAGTCGTTGGCACTGGGTTGTGTGTCATGCAGCTTAGCATTGTGTCCTCGGCTCTTTCTGTTCAAGCTGTGCCCAGCTGCAAGTGGTGCAGGTAAGAAGATGTAACAACAAACAAACCGACGAACAAACTTTTTTTTTTAAAAAGGGTGTTTCCTTGAAGACCTTATTACAGTTGCCTGATAGGCAAAGAATCATCAGTCTGAAAAGAAATAAGCTACATCAGTAAAACTGATATACACGCAACACTCAAGTTCTGGATCAAGACCAAAGTCTGGTAGTGTTCAAACAACCAGAACTTTCCGTCGTAATTTATATCCGGGGAATGCTAAGGAAAGAAGAGCATGCAGGCCTCTTACATTCGGCTGTTCCAAACACTAGTCTTTCAGGCTGCAACTGTATTTTATCTTTAAAGCATATTATGTTCATAGAACAGTACACAACTTTTAAAATGTTTAATTACTCAGATTAGGCATGTCATCATCATCATCAAGTGCCTTGGTGACTGGTGTGGGTGATCATGCCTCTCTGCAGTCTGCTATCCGCAGCTGCATGTATCAGTTCATGTGTTGACACCCCTCCATGCCATGATAAAAGGCTGTCAAGAATCTTCTTGAACTGTCTTCCTCTGTCTCTCTTTCCACAGATCTTTCCAATGGTCACAACATGTTCCAGTTTCCCTTTTCTCATTACATGACACAAAAAATGATGACTCTTTTTCAGATGTTTGTGTAAGTTGTCTTTAAGCCTTCACCTGATTCAGAAAAGCTTGATTTGTCATTTTATCAAATGCAGTTTTAGCCTGTCCTTTTCTGTTCTTTATCTCTGTGGTACATCTTCCATCGGATGTTATCCATGTGCCTAGATACTTACATTTTCTTTATCTCTGTGGTACATCTTCCATCAGATGTTATCCATGTGCCTAGATACTCACATTTCTGTACTTGTCCAAAAATAACACCTTTAACCTTAATTATATGACACATACAATCTCTTCCCCCCCCCCTTTTTTGCCGAGATTCTGACATACAGTTGTTTATATACTTAGGCAATGATCAGAACCTGCAGGATGTCACCCTGTATGCTGGACACCCAGATCATCAGTTGAAGGGGCAAGCTGCAGTTGTCATTGGCAGCTTTATTAGAGCAGCATTAGTTGAGGGCAGAGGCAACTTTCATCAGTGGCTCATGAAGAATTTACCGGCAGAGCAAAGTGAGTAGTGGATTTAATAATGTTGTATTTGTTAATGTTGCCAAAGACATCCAGACTGCCCTTTCCCCTGTTTTGTTTATTGAGCCCCATTTAGGGGGAAAAGGGGGGAGGGGGGGGGGGGGGCAAAGATTCATTCCTGTTAACAAGAATGTTGTAAAAAGATGACTAATTAAGGGTTTGCTGAAATCGGATATCTTGGGCCGAACAGTACAGATATTGCACTCTAGCTGTAAGCCACAACAGAAATTGCCAACTTACCTTTTAAGGGCGATGCAGAAAAGCAAGAACTCTCATTGACGTCATTATAGTAAATTAAATAATTTATTATGTCCTCTGTGTTCAGACATAATACGCAGAAATAAACAGAGGGGGAACTCTTTAGGCCATAGAAACATTATATATAATAAACAGACAGTGTATTGGTTGGCACCCTTAGAAAGAAGTAGAAAGATAGAAGGGCACACTAGACAACATAAAATAGAAAGTTGTAATTACCATGCCAAGAATCGAACATGTCACCTCCAAGTGTATATATATATTTATTTGTTAACTTAAAAAACCTTGTTCTATTTGGTGCTGGATCTATCACCATTGAAATACCTACACATATTTCTTTGACACTGTCTTAGGTGTTCTGTCACTGGATGATCTCCTCAAAATCATCGTCAATGTCCTAGAAGATGAGTCGGCTGTGGCAGTCAGAGCTGCTCTGGTAGCTTTGCAAATGTGTCTGAGTCATGTTATGGACAGCTGTCATGGGCGCTTGGGTTTGCGGGTGCTTCTGGACTTGCTAATGGTGAAGACAAATCCATATTGGTTGGTTAAGGTAGGTGTCATTTAAATATATTTATCAATGTATAATATGTAGGGGTCCCTAAAATATATGTATCTGTATATATGTTGTATGTAAGTGACTTTAAAAAACATACATATCTGGTGGCTCATGCCATGACCCTGTGACCTCTATCAATGAGGCTTACGGGAAAAATTTGAAGTCAGCTTGGCTTCAAAATGCTATTTAGCTCAAAAGACACCCCCCTCCCCACCCCATTACTGTTTTTAGTTAATGTATTAATAACCAGAACTCCTAAACATTTGTACTGGCATGAAAACATGCAGTAGCATTAACAGTCTGTTTCATAGATAATTTGGAAAGTGACATTTACAGAGAATTCGATTCAACACAGAACTGTCGGTTTTGTGGCTTCTCAGGGTGAAAGGGTTGAAAGAACACATGCTGGCTGTTCAAAGTAAGTCCATCTTCGACTGCCTAACCTCTGGAAATTTCCCTGGGTGGTGAGTCTGTTGTTGTGGTTGTAATGAGGGTGAATAGCCACAATGTTCTGTTGTGCACATGGCATGGAAAAGCAAAATCTTCATACTACTGATTTTCGTTGATTCATAGCACTGACAGTAGTATAACTACAAGAACATATTAATAGACTCCACTCAGAATGAGACATCTCTGATATGAAGATCAGCGTAGACAAAACAGAAGTTATGACATTCTCCAGAAAAGGAAGAACCACCAATATCATAATTAATGAACACCAGTTAAAACAGGCAAATGAATTTATGTATCTGTGGAGCAGTTTTTAAAAAGACATGATTAAAAAAAAAAATCCAACAAAGACGCAATAAAGCCAATCAAGTTTTAGGCCAAATGGCACCAATTTCGAAATGCAAGCATGTGAATATGAACTCTAAAAAAACTGTTCAACACCAGTGCTATGCTGTCAGTGTCAAACATGGACACTGTCTGCAGAAGACAGAAGAAAATAGTCACAACAGAAATAAAGTGTTTGTGTATTATACTATGTGTAACGAGGAAAGATTGACTTCGGAACAATGATATCAGGAGGAGGGTCGACACAGAACCAATAATGAACTTTATAGCTAGACAGCAGGTCAAGTAATCTGGTAATCTGGTAATCCTAGTTTCAGCTTCATAGCAAACGGGTCACCCCACAGATGCTCCGCTCCTGTGCCAACGAAAAACAAACGCAGCTCACAGTGTCACGCCATGCACTCAACTCAGAAGCTGGGCGACGAAACTACATCCTTCCAGTCTACAAATGGAGCAAAAATGCAACGGCCACCGTCTGGCAAAAAAAAACAAAACATTTGCCACGGCTTAAAAAAAAAATAATATTAAATTTAAAAAATGTGGCCGTGCCTAGCGTCCATTTTGACCGGAAGAATTATATGAGGGTTAATAAACGGTCACCCCAGCAGTACCCTCATTATTAGCTGGGGAAGGGACTTAGGATGTTACATCCACCAGCAGGCATCGCCCCTATAACGACCTGCCTGCCATCGTTAACGACTGTTCACCCAACAGTCATGCAGTTCTTTGGCACGAAGGAGACACCTTGAACTTGGGTTTCGTACTGCCGACTCCCTACTAAGATGTTGTTTTATGTTTTGTCAAGTAGTTTGGCCATGTAACAAAACTAGCATCAGACAGGGCACCACAGAGAGCATTGTTATGTAAATACAGCGGTAACAGAGCCAGAGGTCGACTATGCAAAATATGGACTGCATACATATCAGAGATGCTCAAAAGTCCTATATACAAAGCGAACAGAAGGGTCCGTTTCAGAGATCTCTTTTGATGCTGCGAAGCATTTCAGGAGTAAAGAAAAGAAGAAGAAGAAGCAGATATACCACCATTTAAAATATAAATAATAAATTCATGACTCATATGCCGACAAACATTGAGAGCAAGAGCTTAATGAAATAAATAATTGATTGAGTCAGATAAGCAAAAATTCACCATATAAGAATTATTGGTCTGAGAGCTAGTAAAGAATGGTCATGGAAGAGGAAAATATCACAAGACTAGAAAGCATTGATATACGTAGATTTGAAGCCAACACAAGGAAGCATTGATAGAGTGCACAGGAACTCTCTTACTTAGAATAGCCAGGAGAATTCTTGAAACAGAACAGATAGTACGTCTCGTCTATGAAGTCTGTCGGTAGAGTGGCATTATGTATTCGTTATACCTTTCTATCGTGCCCTGTCATTTGCCATTTCTCTCCGCACCCTTTTAAGAGTCTTTTAGTTCCACCCTCTTCTGGTACATTTGTCAGTCTCTGTTCGTCTGTCAATCTCATTCACTATGTTGAGGAGTTATCTACATCAGTAGTTTCATTTTCCAAGCTCTCTGCCCTGGCAATTACATACTATGCAGTAACATTACTTAATCAGCCATTTGGCATCTTGGTCTACCAATACCTGCTATAACAATTCAACTTGGACTGTGAGTGTCGGTTCATGGGGAAAGTGCAATCTTGTTTGAAGTTGGGATTTTTTAATTGCCAGCTGGTCTGAAAATTTTGTTTCTGGCCTTTACTACCTGTTCACCAGTTAACAGGGTGGTATCTCTGGTCCGTCTGAACTGCAATGTTTTATTAATTTTCAAATGTAGATCTTATAAGAGAACACCTTAAGTATTGGTGCGCTTGAAGATGTAGAGCCAGTTACATTCCATGTGTTTCTGAGGGCAGAAGTAACCAAAATAACCTGATTTTTACTATCATCATTTTAGGTGGAGTTGCTTGAACTGATTTCCAGCCTGAACTTCAAAATCATCAGCTATTTGGAGAACATATCACCTGACATAATCAGAGGAGATCACTCTTTCTTAGGTGTATGTATCTCTATGGGTTGTTTACCTTTTGCTAAGCCTGGTTATCTTTATCATGTGTGATTACATTTGTTTTAAAATCCGATAATGTCGAATGCTGTCATCATCACATAGCAGGTCCTTTGCAAAATGTCACTCTCATCATGGCCTGCCTGAAAGAAACTCAGTTGTTTTTCTTGGCCAGCTCTCCTGCCTCATACACTTTTCTACCCAGTGTATCACTTATATCATGTGTCCATCTTTGTCCTAGTTTGCTCCTGCCACTCTTTCATGGTACCCTGGTTTCTTCTATTATTCTATCCAATCCGCTGTGGTACTTGAAATGGCCAGAATATTTCAGTTTTTGAGACCAGATGCTGTTTACTAGCCAGTCTTCATTGATGTTGAGATTTTTAAAGATGTCAGTATTCTTTTGTCTTCTTTGTCTTTGGAATTCTTAGAATCTTTCTATAGTCAAAAATCCCTATTTTAGTCCTTAATGACTCGGAGATTGTCAATGACTTACATCCATATGTTGCTAACAGGAAAAATGCTTGCTGTCAAAATGTTGACTTTGGTGCTTAACCATAGACTTTTAATATTGTTTAATCTCTGCATTGCTCAGGCTGTCCTCCTTTCGACTTCTGTTGAGCAGTCTCCATTATTGTTTATTCTGTAACCTAGCTATTCAGAGTTTGTGATATTTTCAGTTCCTTCATTTATTGTAATTTGTGGGTGACAGGCAGTTTTGCATGAACTTTTTTTGGGGGGCTTTCTTTAAATTCAGGAACAGATTTTAATCTTCACTGTGTTTCTGGACAGACAGGAAGTTTTCTGTTCCCTTTACATTGTTTGAAAAAGGACTGTGTTGTCTGCATAGCATAGGTCCAGGTTGTTGGCAGTTATGAGCGGATCATAACTATCACAAGTCTGGTCATTGTTGATATTTCTTATTATTCTGTCTGCACATTAATAAAAATAGATATGGTGAGAGAATGCACCACTGCCTAACTCCCCTTTGAACCTTGAACCAATTTGATGTTTCTCCAACTACTCTGATGGCTGCTTATTGTTCATGATATCAACTTTCAGTTTACTTCATAACAATCAGTTTTACTTTATAACTGCAAATAGTACAACATGTTTTGCATTGTTGTACTCAGATTTTATGGTTTTACCCAAGACCATTGTAATTTCAATAGATTATTTTTAGTTTTATTATGTCACATTTTAGATTCAACTAAAATGTTTTTTTCATTTGGTTTAGTATAGAACTTTTAGGAGTTAAAAAATAAAGTTTTTCATGTTTTATATTTACATGCAGCCTTATCGATACATTTTTCCAAATAAAGTTTATTTTGGTTTAAAAAAAAAAAGAAAAAAAAAAAAGGAAGGAATATATTTCTGTAGAGTAATTGTTCAAATTGGAGATCATGTTTCGAGTGAAACTGCTACATTTATCCCACAGAAATGACCAATGCAAAATATTAACTAATACAGATGAACAGAGGTGTTAAAATAATTTTCATTCAGATGGAAACATTTTTTTGTTTACCAGAGAGAGCATAAGGAGTCTGTGTTGGAAACAGTTCTATAAAATATTGTAACCAATGTATGTGTCTATGATGTGTGTTTGTGTTTGTGTGTGTGTGTGTGTCTGTGCGTGCATGCATGCATGCATACATACATGTGTACACAAGCTCCTACACACACATACAAAAAACATGCTATGCATGATGCATGAACACATACACAGTTTGTTATTATTGGTAAAAATCCATTCTGTGCACCTATAGTCATACCATTGGACATACTTGGTTAACCCTGAATTTGTATAGACCAGTCAGTACTGGAAGGCGAAGTGGTCAGTATCACTCATGCTGGTTGCTTTTACTTCCGGTCATAATGGACGCTAGGCGGGCCACTGTTTAGAGCGGAGGCAATTTTTTTGCTTCTGCCAGACGGTGGCCGATGCATTTTTGTTCCATTTGTAGACTGGATATAGTTTCGTCACCCAGCTTCTGAGTTGAATGCATGGCGTGACACTGTGAGCTGCAGATTTCATTTGGAATGTTTTTTCGACTGTGACCAACATGGTGGTGTGAATTGTAGATTCAAAAAATGGCATGATGCCTGTCGTCGCAATTTTGGTGGTGCCCGTATGTGATTAAAAGTGGGCAACTGCAGATCTGTTGGTGACTTCTGCTACCATCAATGATGATCGGTATTTCTAATGTCAGACTGTTTGTGTTAGCACTTCGGATGGCTACTGTATGCTTTAATGCGTTTGTATGCTAGATATGCTGAGACAGCAGTCTGTCAATCTTTCCACAAGGGACTGTGATATTCATTCTGTGTGTTTTTCGTTGGCACAGGAGCGGAGCAAAGATGGGGTGACCCGTTTGCTATGAAGCTGAAACTAAGACTACTAGACCAGACTTCCCAGAATATTTCCTGGTACCCATTTTAGGGTGGGTTAACTTGGGGAGTCATTTTATAACATTCACCTCAGTAGGTTCTTGTCTCTCAGGTCATCTTAACCTTGAGTGGGTACGAGGTACAGTCCTAGGAAGTAAAGGAGGCTGGCATGATGCTGACAACATCACCCACCGAAAGCCGATTGGTCTATAAAATATAGGTCTAGCCTTATATGCCCATTACGCCTGAAGGTGTGGAAAAAGGTCAGTTATTTACTCAGTAGAGGTTAGAACCTATGACCATTGGACTGATGGTCAAGGATTTGGGCCACTGGGCTGCTGTAGCTTATTATTTGTGGATTATGGGCACATTGACTTTAAGATTTTTCTTTTTTTTTTAGCATTCACTGGCTGAAAACTCTGGCGGACAGTTCTGAATGTTCGTCCACTCCTGCTCTTTAGTCTTGATCTAGAAATTGAGTTTAGCCTGCAATTCTGTTTAACAAATCTGCCTTATTTGTATGCAGAATGTTGGTTGATTGCCTCTCAGGCAGATACTCTCTGTCTTTGAAGGAATCACCCCTAATAGGTCACCTCCTGCAACATGCTTGGTGGGAGGAGGGGGGGGGGGGGGAGGCAATGAGTCTATTCTTTGTTCTCCAAAATTGAACCTCCAGAAACCACATAAGGAATAAGAAATTGAAATACATGACTTTGTAGTGTAGCAGTCATACTTAATACTGTTAAAAAAATCACTTTGTGAGGCCTAGATTTAACTAATTCTTTGGCCATTTAATTGACAGAGAATGTGTTTGCAAGACCACTGTTTCCAAGAGATTGTGGTTCAACTGCTTGGTGATGAAGATTCAAGAGTGCGAGCAGCAGCATCTTCTGCTATAATGAGGTGCTTTCTTCATCAAGTTATTTTTTAGTATTTTTGTTTAAAATACTTAACTGTTGCCACTCTTTGTGAATTGACAACAGTTTTATTGTTGACGCAGAATTAGTGTGCCTGTTCGTGAAATGATGATATATATCTTTCATGAGCTAAAGTGAGCTGGGGGTATGTAGTAAAATACCAGTATTTGTGAAATGATGGTACATCTTACAATCAGTTGAAATTGAGCCTAAGGAATGCAAGAAAATACATATTATTTATGAAATGATGGTATGAATATCCTGAATAAAGATGAGCTAAAAAAAGTTAACAAAACCCAAATGATTTGTGGAATTATAGTACATACTTCTTGGTGTAAAATTGAACTAAAAGAAGTTAACAAAATACAAATTATTTGTGGAATTATAGTACATACTTCTTGGTGTAAAATTGAGCTAAAAGAAATGAACAAAATACATATTATTTGGGGAATTATGGCACATATTTTTGGTGTAAAAATGAGCTATAAGAAGTTAACAAAATACATATTATTTGGGGAATTATGGCACATATTTTTTGGTGTAAAAATGAGCTATAAGAAGTTAACAAAATACATATTATTTGTGGAATTATGGTACATGTTTCTTAGGGTGGCTGGAGAATAGTACATCCCAACATTTTGTAATTGTAACATATTCACAGAGCATGCTTTGGAAAATCTTTGTTTTCTTCTTCTTCATGTTCGCCAGCTGTAAATTCTGGCAGAAAGTTCTGATTGTTTGTCCACTTCTGGACTAAAGTCTTGTTTTCAGAACTTGAGTTTTGTTTGCACATCTGTTTAACAGATCTGGCTTAGTTGTATGCAGACTGTCGACTCCTCATCTTTCAGGCAGATTTCAAAAGGAGCACCCCTAATTAGTCACCTTTGACTATATTTTTGTTGGGAGAGTGGGAGTTGGATTTTGTGGGGGGCGGGGGGAAGTGAGTAAAAAAAAGTTCCTTTATAAAAGGTATCCCACACAAAATAGCATGTATGATTATGATTTAAAAAAAATTATAACCAGGGTTGTGGGTGGAGCTTATTTACTATGATAATATTTTATTTTAGTCATCTATGGGAAATCTGTTTTAATGAAAATGATCCTACACATGTAGAAGATATAAAATAAAAGTAAAAAGGACTAAAACTGGGGTAATGCAAGACAGTGGAATTGATACTCTTCTATATATAGAGTTGAATGGTACTTGTCTGAAGCAATTTAAAGAATGTTGAGTTGAGTCAAGTATTGACATCACAGCACTCGGGGCATTCCCTTGCATGCTACATCCTCATCTTCAGCAGCCAGCGCAGAGTTCTAATACTGATGGTACTGGTCACAATCTGGTTATATGTACGTTTTGCCTTTCCTCTGAGTGTAGTGAGCCAAGCTCTCTGGTTACAGCCAGGTGCCTCGTTCTCTCCAGGCCATAATAATCCCCTAACTCTACTGATTTGGTTGCTTTTTCCCAAAGAGCCTTGACCACATATACCTTGTCATGTATAAATTCACCACCCAGTGGTGCAGATCCAGCCAATCTATCTGCCTGTTCATTATCCACCGTGCCGGTGTGGCCTGGAGAAAAGATCCAAAGTATGCTCACTACCTGTGACCTTTCCAGTGATGCTTGCCACTCTGTTTGAAGCATCCCTGTCTTCACCTTTCTCAGCATGCTTTCAGCGCCTTTTACAATTACGATTTTTATTTAATTTAAAGAATTTATCTAGGAAGTATATTTTCAAATAATGGGAGGATAGATAAGGAAGTAGAAATATATATCAAGACATCCAAACATAAGTATTACCACAAGAAAAATAGATTTGTAACAGCAAATTCATACCAAAACTGTGCTACCAGTGCCAAACATGGACATTATCAAAAGGTAGTCTATGTAAAATTATTACCTTTGAAATAAGATGCCTGAAGGAAGCTGTCAACCTAACCATCTGAGACAAAGCAAGATATGTACTATCAGAGAACAACACCATGCAGCAAATTTATTGAGAAACAGAAGATCAAATTGTTTGGTCATCTGGCTGGAATGCTGCCACAACTACTACCAACACAGACACTACACATTGTCAGGGGTCGTCCCGTTTATGGGACAGTTCAGTAGGATGATGATGAATCCCACCAATTTACCCTACGACCCTTTGCTACTCAGTACGTGTAGACACACGTAGAAACGTGGGTACTGAACGAAGCTGGTTGAAAACTCAGTGTGGCTTGTTCAAGGCTGACGGATTTCACGTAGGCTGACCGCCACGTGGACACGGGAGCTTGTAACAAAACTGCTGTGCAAGGCAGAGATCGGGACTCTGTTGGTTGTGGACGTGTGTTGTTAACTTGACGTGTTACGGGACGTTAAATTGTGATAGTTTCATTGACAGATCCTATTGACTTGTAGAAATGTACCATCGTAGTTATTAGCTGTAATGTGTATTGTTCGTAGTGTGATTAAATGTATTTAATACGTTACAGGGTAGATAATACATGTTCCATTTAGATCTCAGCATTAGATTTAGAGTAGTAGCTAGACTTTGTCAGTAGTCATAACTTTTTACGATAAGCCAGACCATGCATTGTTTGTGGCGTTAGCATCTGTCGACGCACCTCTTAGCCCACACAGGGTGAGTGCCATAGCGTCTTTGACATCAGGAGACATCGGGTTGAGTTAGCGCTGTATGGGAGTGTGGTAGCGGCTCCGAGCTTATATCATGAATGTGAAAAGGCGCATCTAAGTGATTTTAAAGTTAGAAGGGGCCTGGTTTCAGAATAAGAAGCTCTACTCCTCCTGAGGGGTTCGCCGTCACGTTATTCTCTGCTGATAATTAAGATTGTGTGTGTGTGTGTTGCAACCCATGTTTGGCTTGGGTGTGTTTGTCAGCAGTGTTTTTCTGTCATTAGCCTACAGCGTAGCCAATGGAATCGAACCCTAGACAAATAGGTTCTTGACACACATGAAATGTGAAAGATGATGATGATCCTAAACCATATTGTTACTTTAATTATAGTTTTACTGTTTTTTTGCACTTAAGGTTAGTGCCCAAGTTCTTCTTTGCCTCAGACAGTCCACATCAGGACCCAGTACTGGCTGTAGCATCTGATCAGACCCGTGACCTCCTGTCTCCAATAATGGAACCTGTGATGGCAGGACAGTTACCTCCACTTGTCCAGGGTCTAATGAAGCCTTATCATTTTGACATTCTGGCAGAAGTCTGCCCTGCTACAGAGAGCTCACTATCTCGTGTGGTTCAAACATTGTTCCATACACTGCTGGTTTCACATTCAAAGTATGCTACGGTAAGTGGGTGCATGTTTTAACCTTACATGTAGGCAGGATCCACTTCTTTGATATTGTAAGGACTTCTATCTTTCTGTTAATAAAACTTAAGCAAATTTTCACACTTTCTACAACTTCTATATCTACCATATTCTTTAGTTCTTTCTAATGTTTTTTGTAATCATGACATGTCATCAGCATTAAAAAAAAAGTTAAAGGACCCTTTTCCATGCCTTTAGTCATATAGGGCTAGACCTATATTTTATAGACCAACGGCACAAGATGGGTGATGTGGTCAGCATCACACCCGCCGCCTCTACTAACCGGGACTGCACCTGGTACCCAAATAGGCTAGGTCGACCTGGGAGCCAAGGTCATTTTTGAAGAAAAAGTCTGGCTCGCCAGGAAGCGAACCCACGACCTTCCGATCCGCGGCTTGCATCTAGCCGCTCTGCCATGGCGACTCCCTGTCATGAGCATAATGTAAGTTATTTATATTATGACCACCAACTGGGATCCTTGACATATTTTTTGTATAACTTATATGCTTACGTTAAAGTTAAAAAAAAATAAAAAAATTCAATAAACAGTTCACATGCTTACCAGATACCCATTTTTATGTACAGAAAAATGTTTGATTTGTTATAGCGGCTCTTTGCTGCCAGTTCTAACTACAACATTATACCTCTGTAATTTTCAAACTAATGGAGGTTTCTTTTCTTTACCAGCTTTGCCAGATAACCCTTTTTCCAATCTGCTGTTATTCTTCCATTCTCTCAGACTGCTAAATAATTTGTGTTCTAATTCAGCTTGCTTGTTTATATTGGTGTTAATAGCTTCTTCTGGGATATCACCAGGACAACAATGTTTCTATTATAACCATTATAACTTCTGTCTTTGGCCATTAATAAATCGATGGAGTTAGCCTTATTTTATCTTAGTTGACTGAATTATTGTTCTTTAGATTCATTGGATTTTGCAGATAGTTATTATATGGCATGAGGTTTTTGGTGTCATGTCAATCATCCTTATTTACCTCTCACTAAATGCAGGATTGTTTACATGTTTACTGTTTTGTGCTGCCTTCAATATCACAAGTAACACGTGGGCATATTTTGTCAAGAAGCTGCTGGAAAACATTTCCATTAATAAATAAATTCTCATTAAAAACGTTTCCTTTAATAAATTCTCATTCAAAAACATTTCCATTAATAACCTCGTTAAGAAGAAGTGCATCTACTTATTTACCCTTTCATTTATAAATTCCCAGAGTGGAATTTGCCAGGCGTTGAGCAGACTGTCAGAGGAATATCTAGTCACAGAATATGCTTCTTCATGGAGTTGTGGCCCTGCTAAACCATTTGCACCAAAGAAGCATGAGGAGAAGATAGCTGTAAGAAGGCCTCCAAGTCGATCATTGAGTGCTTCAAGGTAATATTTTGTTAAGGATTCCAAATTTGCTGTTTGTTACAAAAAAAAAACTATGTTCTTTATGTATTATTGTTTTAACATTTTTTAAATTTTTTATTGTAATGCTTTACATTGTAGGCTATAGTGTTATTGTTCTTTTCATACTTTATAAGCTGGGTAACATATGGGGAATATGCAGTATTAAAAGTAAGGGGGAAAAGGCACTTTTTACACAATTAGTGCTTTGGGCATATGATGCCAGACTAACATTTTTATATTTTATAGACCAGTCAGCATTTGTTATGTAATGTGGTCAACATCATGTCTGCTGACTTTACTCCCCATGTCATTTCCTGGTATCAAATTTAGGCTGGATTGATCTGGAAACCAAGGTCAATTTTATCTTTCTAAATTTGCCCAGTGTGGATTCAAACCGAAGATTTTGAACCAGCCTGCAAGCAGTGTATAGATATTTATGTCAAGAAAATAATGCTTCCAGATGATGATTTTAAATCTGTTTAATTTTGATAGCATGGATGAGTTAACATCTGCGAGTGGAGGAGGACCTCTTCCCATTGTCTTGTCTCTTATGCTGGCATCTCAGGCTGGACTGGAGCTGACTACGCATCAGGACTTGCTGCAGCTGGCAGGAAACCTTGTCGCAGGTTAGCTGCAGCTTTGCCAGTCCTCGTTTGTCTTTATTCTCTGTTATCTGAGTCATCTGTTGATGATTTTTATTTTGCAGCATCATATGGAAGTTTTTGTAGCTAGTTGTTCAGAGATCCAAGATTCCATGCTCGTATTTAAAGTTATTCGTTGAACATAATCCAGAAAATTGAGGCTTGCTTCTTGAACATGCATTGGATTGAAGCACTCCAGAGGCTCACAGCTTGTAATTTCATGTTTTATCTTCTTACTGGGATATACAGTGTTGGGGTTACTGAAAATGGATAGGCTGGCCAGGACTGCCACTTTATGAGAAGATAAATCAACCAATGGAGTCATGACTTAATACTTTTAGAAAGGCTAGGCCCCCCCCCCCCCCCCCCCCCATGAATACTTTTAGAAGGGCTAGCCTCCCCATGAATACTTTTAGAAAGGCTAGCCTCCCCATGAATACTTTTAGAAAGGCTAGCCTCCGTATGATTACTTTTAGAAAGGCTAGCCTCCCCATGAATACTTTTAGAAAGGCTAGCCTCCCCATGAATACTTTTAGAAAGGCTAGCCTCCCCATGAATACTTTTAGAAAGGCTAGCCTCCCCATGAATACTTTTAGAAAGGCTAGCCTCCCCATGTGTGTTTCTTGATCTGGGGGAGCAATAGATCCATTGCCCCTTACCAAACCTGTCGTAAAAGGCGCAACTAATTAAGATTTTGCTCAAAACAGATGTGTTGTTCTGAAAGTAAAAGGCACAGATATCACAGCCCATCTGTAAACTGCAACACAATATTATGCTATCCTTGTAAGGATGAAGACAGAAGAAGAAAGGATGGCTAAAATAGGACCATTAGTTTAAAGAATCTACATCAGTAGTCAGAAATCAGACATTTAGATTGAAGATTAGTAGGACTAAGAAAGAGAAACACACAAAGTATTGGAGAAGGCTTGACATTCGACGTCAGACAGCCACAGATAGTTGCTGTACACTGATGGATTCAGATTGCAAAATATTTGAGGACCCATGAGTGTGTTCAGAGTGCAGTGACAGTAATCTTAATGGCATACTAGATGCTTCCTGTGGCCAGATTCTAGAGCAGGGTGGGCTAAGTTTACTCAGGAGCCAGAATAGGGATCATCAAGGGCCAGATGACCCAGCTTACAAAGATAACTAATAGAATGCAGGGTAGGTGGTCCACTTTCTAGGCCTCTGCGGGCCAGATTCAGCCAATGGGCCACCAGTTGAATAACTCTGTTCTCATCTCACATAGTTTTCGGCTGTACAACAGATAGTATTTCAGTTGAATCTTGGCTGTGCTCTGACAGCTTAGGTTTGTTTATTGGTTGATTTTTATTTAATTCATCATATAATTTATTTATTCAAATTAAGAATAATTTTTTAGGGATTTTTGTGTGTGTATGCACATCATGCATATGCATACACTACATGAGACGAAACAATTTTCCTGATCTTAGAACCCTACCACACACAAATCTTGCATGGTAGCCCAATTCAGATTGTCAACTTTCCACTCTTGGGCATGTTCAGAGAAGAAAAAGGACTTGGGACGCAGAGGAGAAGAAAGATTGTATATAAGAGAGCAAAAAACACGCATTTATACACAGTAAAGAGTGATTAAAGATGTCAGGAAAAGTATAGTAAACAACATCTTTAACATCTTTTTGACTGAATTTTTTGTACTCATTCTCTCACGTCTGTTTCTTCACTGGTATGCTGGCTGTTTATTTTTTATTTCCTAAGTGCCACTCCCACCGCCCCCCACATACCCTCCCCATATTTGTACCTCATTTGTTCACCATGTGCATTTATTAAACAAAAAAATTGATTAACATGTTTCATGCAGGTGCTGCCTATAAGAATCTACGGCCAGCAGAAGAAACAGATAAATTATCAGGGGCAGGGGATGATGGGCACTGGGCATCAATATCTGATAAACTGTTAGTGCCAATGATAGATCAGCTGTTTACTCACACAGCCAGGTAAGCTGGGTAACTTTTCTTGCATTAGATAGACTAACTCTGCAGGGCTTTTGTCCGGGACTTGCTTCAGAACAGCTGAACTGTTTTTGGAGGTCTTTAAAAGAACTTTTGGTGCCTTATACAATTAATTGCACTTGCAACTACTGATCTGTTGTAACTACTGTTTCTATTGATGTTGAACTGCATTTCTAGTGTGAGACTGTTAGTGTTGGTACCTTCTGATGGCTGCCTTATTGCATTTAATGCACATGTATGCTGTTGAATTTGCTAAAACTGTGTCTTCTTGACTGTGTAACAGTAAAATAACAAATCCTTTTCAAACTATTCGAACTACTATATGGATAATTAAAGCAATGTTTCCCCGATGGGAATTTGAACAAAGAAGACACAAACAATAGACTGCACAATTTATTGCCTGGCATATTTCGCAGTATCTCGTCAGGTGCATACTACAGTAACATTTAATTAAAATGAAGCAAATAGCTGAATCCTAGAAACTGAAACACAAATTTGAGTACATTTCAAACTGTTTCACCAAGGTAAGCGTAGGGAAATGACCATTTCTTTTTGCCTACATAAATCCGGTTTCAATCTGCCAATCGCGGAAGCCTCCGCGTATCGAAGTAATCTACGGTTGGCCGAACTGTAAATAATTCAAAATGCATCATTCCTGTTAATGATGTGCCCGGAATTTAGAAAATGGCACGCAATTACTGATGATGGATTATTTCGACCAGTCACCTGATTCGTTGTTGTTGAGGTGTTAGTGTTCTGCATTGCTTTTACCACCCATAGTGGAATATGTTCAGTAACCTGTTACTCCAGTTGTCGATCAGTTCTGCCCACATATGCAGCATTACAGGTGCATTTAAATTGGTATATACAGTTAGATCTGACGTACGTCGACACTGGTTCTTTTACTGGTGGCGTAGGAATCATGGTATTTATAAATCTCATAACAGGCATGGCTGCGTAAAAGGTTTGACCGACTGCTGTTTTGAGTCGGTCATATATACGTTGCATGACCTCGTCTCCCTGAAACGTTAGATGTATATAGGCTATTTTTTTTTGGCACCGACATTTCTAAGGTAACTGGTTTAGGCGGCTGGCAATGACACTTAATAAAACCACCTGGATATCCATTAGAAAGCAGTGTTTGTTTAATCGTTTCAAACTCAGCTTGTAGCGTGTCGATGGAACAAATCTTCCTAGCACGGTAGAATAATGTCCTCACTAGACCACGTTTGTATTGCAAAGGTGCAAAACTGTTGAAATGGATGTACTGGCCTGTCCAAGTGTCTTTAATATAAACTGACCTTTCAATAGTGCCATCATCTCTACGTCTAATTAAAATGTCTAAAAAGGCCAAAGTGTTGCTACTTTCATGTTGTAGGGACACAGTGATGTTTTTGTGCATTTGGTTCATTTTGGTGTGAAAGGACTCTGCCTGTTGTTTGTGGCGATGATAAGTATGTCATCCACGTAACGTCGGTAAATATGGATATGCTGCTCGATTCATATTTTTGTTAAAAATTACAATAATCAGCACTTTGTGAGTGATGTGGTCAACATCAAACTGACTATTTCTACTTCCTTGACCATTTCCTGGTACTATTTTAGATTGAGTCGACCTAGGAGTTCTAGGTTATTTATAAAAATCAAACAGAATGCAGATTTCAAACCAAGATTTCTTATCCAGCAGGCATGTCTAGCCACTTTGCTTTTGCTGCTGCCATAAATGAAAGGGGCTCTTTGCAAATCTTGATTCTCATGAAATAAATTACTTTAGATTTTAACTCTTTGCTGGTAAATATGATTCTTTGCTCACGTTTTAAAAAAATATTTAGGTTATTTTATTGGACTATTAGGATGGTTACACTGCAGTGTTTTACTGATGTACAGGGTGTCCCATAACTTTCCATGCATAGGAAAAATTAGAATTTTTATGAAAACCATTTTTATTTATTTGAAAAGCTCTGCATGACTACCATTGTTTGAAAACACATTTCCTATTGGGTCCTCTGCTGCTAAAGATCACATATTAGCACAGCTGGAGCTATGTTTATTATGGCCTTGGAAATATATTCTTCTAAATGATATGCATTTATAGTTTATTTTTCCTACAAACTTAAATGTATAGGACACTCTGAGTTTAACTCTCTACAACCATTACATGATTACTTTAGATTTTAACTGTGCTAAATATGATTTTCTCTATTTAAGTAATCTTTTTTTAAATTTCTGTAAGTAGTGTTACAATGCAGTGATTTCTTGATGTATAATGTTTTGGACCATTATTATTGTAATAATTTCAGCTATAGTGATTTTTTTGATATTTCTGTGTGTCTTCAGATTGTTGAATGCTTGCACACATGCCATTGAAGAATCGGTACCAGGCCCACCACAGATGAAACCATCTCTCCCATCCTTGCCAAATGCAGCCACTTTGAGTCCAGTTAGGCGTAAGATGAAAGGCGAAAAGGAACCAAACCCCCCGATTTCTGGAGGCTCTCCTGATATTAAACTTGGCCAGAAAATGCCAGTGAAAGGTTGGGCAGTTTTCTTGAAGTATAGTTATTTTTTAAAACAAGTAATTCATTTTTGGGAGCGCTGCTGTCGCAGTGGCTACATGCTCCCTTGCGAGCCCTAAGATCTTGGGTTCAGAATAACAAAAAACAAAGGATCCTTTTTAACCCTTTGGCTGCGGTGGACATATTTTGCCATTTGCCATAGATGGCTGGCACATCTCTAGACGTTATCAGGTTTCTTGGCTCTCACTGCTGAGTTTAAGAACCAACATCATAGCACTTGGGACATTCCCATAAGCGCTCAGTCTCATCTTCTGCAGTCAGAAAAGAGTTCCAACTCCGTTGGTACCAATATCAGTCTGATTATAAGTGCGTCTTGCCTTTCCTCTTAGTATGGAGTGTTCATTGCACCATTCTTTTCACACCATGATAAACTAAGTGTTTCTCCACCTGTGCACTCCCTCGCAAAGAACCTTGACAACACCTAGCTTGTGATGCACAAATTTACCATCAGCAGGTCTGTCCGTTTTTTCTTTTCCTAACACACTGCATGCCCTGGGGAAAATATCCAAAAGATGCTAAATACCCTGGACTTTTGAAGCGATGCATGTCACTCTTCATGAAGCATACCTGTCTCCACCTTTCCCAGCATGCTTTATGAGTCGTTTACAATCAAAACATGTGTGTGCAGCTGATTCTCAAGCCAATGGAAGGCTGCAGTGACCGCCTCTATCTTTATTCTAAACCTAGATGTTGTGATATCATATGCCAGACTTTGCTGCGCTAAGGGTCGTCCGTTAGCTTTTGCTATGAACCCCCATGTACTTCTTCTGCCTCTCAACACAGAGCCATCAGTATAGATAATCACATCACCTGTGTGGGAACTGTCCTTCACTGATATTTTGGTTTTAGTCTGCCTGTAATGGTATATTTCCTGAATATACTTTATCTTTTCTTTATCTTCATGGCATGTTTGAATAAATTTTCTTCCCTAGATCCTAAAGAGGGAGAGAAAGACAAAAGTAGAAAAGATAGCATTGGTGTGTTTTACAATCTGCCGCAGTACATGAAGCTTTTTGATGTACTAAAAGGCTCCTACTCAAATTTTAAGGTAAGTTAAGAATTATTTGATCTCTGATCTGTAAATTAATAGAAAAACTTTCAATAGCATGAAATGCTTTCTGACATTTAAGTGACTTATTACAATTAACAGTGATTAACTCTTTGATGACGTTTTGTCGATATATCAGTGCAACAATCCGACCCATTTTGACAAATATTTATGTTTAGCATAGACACTATAATATTGTTTAGTTAAGTAAGAAAATGAATTTGTATGAACATGTTTTGAAAAACTACACCATAAAAGTAATTACAGGCAGTAGTGGCAGTGTTATTTCTCCTGCTCTTGTAGTTAGTTACAGGTTTCCCAGGGATTGATTTTTCTGGTTATTATAGGTTTTTGGCAGGAAGACTGTATTTAGCAGTGTCATTTTATTGTAGCAATGTAAACTATATATTATAATATGTTGAACTTTTATATGGTAGCATTGATAAATATATATTATAATATGTTATGCTTTTATATAGTAGCAATGTAAACTATATAATATGTTATTCTTTTATATAGTATATTGTATTTTATATAGTTTGTTTATGTAGTAGCAGTGTATAATAAAACAAAATGTTGAATTAAGAACCCACATCATAGCACTTGGGACACTCCCATAAGGGCTCTGTCCCCATCTTCAGCAGCAAACGAAGAGTTCCAATTCTGATGGCACCAGTAACTGTCTGATTGTATATCCATCTTGCCTTTCCCTTGAGTGTTGAGCATACGCCAGATCCCCTGGCCTCTTCTTGCAGCGCCATTTTCCTCAGACCGTAATGATCTGTTTGCGCTTCCGCACTGTTCACTCGCTCCCAGAGGGTCCTCAAAACATCCAGCTTGTCATACATCAGTTCACCACCAAGTGGTGCAGAACAAGCCAGCCTATCTGCCTGCTCATTCCCAACTCACCGGCATTATCTGGAGAGAATATCCAAAGGATACTAACTACCCGGGACCTCTGAAGTGATGCTTGCCACTGCACGGTGTATACCTGTCTCCACCTTTCTCGATATGCTCTGTGTGTCAGTTACAATCAATGTAAACTATATATATATTATAATATGTGATACTTTTATATTGTCGCAATGTAAAAAATATATATTTTGATATGTTATATTACAGTTAGTAAGCAACCAGTGGCACATCAGGCATATGATACTAGACTCATATCCTTGTTAGACCAATCAGCACTCAGTAGCTAATGTAGTCAGCATCACGCTGGCCACTTTTACTTTCCAGACATTACCTATTACTCATTTAAGACTGGGTCGACCAAGTAGCCAAAGTAGATTTCAGAAAAAAACGGTGTAGATTTGAATTTAAGACCTGCTGGCTGGCAGGTAAGTGTATGTGTTTTATTACTGAACTTGATTTATTCTTGTTATTTTGGTTTTCCTGTCCACTTTTAAGACTTCCCTGGATCTCACAAGTTCAGATAAGTTTTGTGGCATCCTGAGAACGACCTTGACAGTGTTATCACAATTGCTTGAAATTGCCACATTGTACGACATTGGCTTAGTCACAGAAGAACTTCTGGGCTACCTTAAGGTCACCATGGCACTTGAGCCAACGTGGACAGTCTTGTGTGTGCAGCAGGTACAACACATATTTCCTGTAAATGTGTTTATCTTGGTTATATCTGTACCTGTATGTGTAGAATGTATGTGTAGAATTCTTTTTCACTAACATCCAATGAATGACAATGATTCTTCTTCACTTACTCTTTTACCACTTCATGTGTTGGGGGCAAACAGGGTTCAGGTTCTTGCTCTTATCTCTGCCTCAACCATAGACACTTGATAGTGTTGTTGAGTTCCTGTTATGCTATGCTGTGAATCCTAGACAATTAGTAAAAGGGGATAAACAATTCCACGAGGCTTCAGAAATGTGGTTTAAGGAAAAATACTTAAATTCATTTGACAGCCAACATGAGTAGTCGAAATGTTCAATTATGCATGTATTTCCTATTTATCAGATCCACTATTTAGAGATTAAATTGTCTTTGAGTATACTATTAATAGTGGCTGGTTTTGGATAGGGTATAAGACATTGTAACATATCAAGTAATACTTTTTGAGAGTTAAAATAGAATATAAGACATTGTAACATATCAAGTGAAATGTTTTTGGAGTTTAAATAGGATATAAGACATTGTAATATATCAGGTAATATTTTGGGGGAGCTTAAATAGGAGCTCACTGCGGCTAGGATATTCAGCACTTATGTGTAATCTTGTGCAATGTTTAGCAGAAGTTACTGATTTTATCTTGTGTTGAATACAATAAATGCAATTTACTGTAACACACATTTGAGACGTTTGATTGATCAGTGACTGACAGAAACAAAATAATAGTATCAATTCCTAAAGCAAATTGTGGATCTGGAGGTCATGGATTTGAATCTGAATGGATCTGAACTTATAAAAAAAAAAAAAATACCTTGACTCCAAGGCCGACCCAGCCTTAAGTGGGTACCAGGTAAAGCCCCAGAGAGTATTGGTTGCTGGCATTATTTTGAACACATCACCCACCGAGTGCAGATGATCTACAAAACATAGGTCTGGGAAGCAAGTGGGCAATAATACGTATAGGAAGATAACACCGAGAAATTGAACTGTGGTCTATAAGAATGCAATCAGATCAAGAGATTGACCGACTGTATAATGCAGAACACATATTGCTGTTATTAAAATTTTATTGCAAGTTATTTTAAGAATTCTTTTGTATTTTCACAAATATTTTTCAGCTTCTGAAAGCCTTGTTTGGTACTAACTTAGCTAGCCAGTGGGATCCGAACAGCCAGTCAGCCGTGTCACTTGTTGCAGATCTCAATGCCCGTGTGACGGCAGGCTCTAGCCCTGGCTTGTACTACCACTGTCTCAACAAACCCTATGTCCAGCTGGCTCACTGCTTGGTTGGTGCAGCTTGTAGAGCCACTTTACCTACAGATGAAGCACACAGGTTTGGTTATTTGTTAAATAAACCTTCATGCAAATCTTCTGTGTTTGAGTGAGAGAGGTGGGGGGGGGGGGGAGAGAGAGAGAGAGAGAGAGAGAGAGAGAGAGAGAGAGAGAGAGAGAGAGAGAGAGAGAGAGAGAGAGGTACAGACATTTGCTCTGCCTCTCCGTCCATTTCTATCTCTCCCCCTTTTTTTGCTGTTTTCAGAGAAGGCACAAATCAAGTCTTTTAATGTGACCAAAATTATTCATTTGCCCTTATTTTTTTTTTCAAGGTTAGAAGAAAAAAGAGAACAATAGAGAGCAAGATGCACACACATTCTCTCTATATGTCTTCTTTGATCTCCCTGCCTACTCTCTCTTCCCTTATAATTGAGGTGTTTATAGCATGCCTTCGTTTTTTGGTTTGGTTCTGTGAGTTTCTTTCCTTCCCTTTGTTTCCCCATAGCAGATTACTGTTTGCCACTATTTCCTTCTAGTTCTGGACCATTTCTTTAAACTGATTTCTTTGTGGTTGAATTTTTTATATTATTTTTTTTTAAACGTTTTTTTAAATAAACTAGCAGCAGAAATAATTAATTCCTGCGATCAGTCAGTCAGGTTCAGACTGAAGGGAGGCCGCAGTGGATCCTCCAACACTTTATCTCTCAGCCTGGTTGTACACTCTGTCAGGATGCTGTTTCAGTCTCTTGACACTATCTCTTACTTGTCTGCCCCTTATGGCTGTTATTAGCATCATGGCTTCTAATGTGGCTGAAATAATTTATTTGTCTCTATTTTGTTTTTTCAGCTCTTGTTTCACTTTCAGTCTCTCCAGACCTTCGTGAAATACTTGATTGTTTTTTATTCCATACAAATATAACATATTTTTCTGCATACCCAGTAGGTTAAAGTGAGATTTATATAGATAAGCCGCACACATTATTCACAATTTTTAGCCACAGATGTGACATATTTTACAAAATTCTATTTAATGAATGCTTGTTCATGTCTATATGTTTAAAGGTCTATATTTCCCTGCTAGATGCGTATTGTGGTAATAATAAAATGTAGTAGATTGAAAAAAGATAACAGAAATTAACTAAAATCTTCAACCAAGCAGGAACACATATAAATGTTTGGTAGTCTGTTATAAGATATTTAATTACTGGAAAGGCTAAACCAGCTAAACCATTTCAGTCAACAAAGGCCATTAGGAGTCGGATATGTCGCCAAAATACTCAAATAACGCAGCCATGCTGTAGACAGGCACAATGTAACCACATCTTCAGATGAGCGCAAAAGAAGAAGATATATCTTCAGGGAATCAGCCAATAAAATATATATAGCATGGTGAACATTTTGTTGTTTACTGATTGGCACTCATAGATGTAGAGGAAGGAAGTAGACACATGGGACTTCAGGGTTCCTATTAATTTGTCATATTGTTTCAGTAACTAGGGTTCTCTGGCGATTTAGAAAACCAGTAACTGATCTTGTGTATGATGTTGACATTACAGTTTTGTCACTATTTTATAGAATTAATGTTTGGTTTTTACAGTTCTCTTTTATGGCTGAAACAAAGAGTGGATAGAAAATTCCCTTCAATTCTAAAGCCTACAAACAAAGTAGATAAGGTAAGAGTAGATTCATAAAGAAGATGACAGTCTGGTTTTGTTCTGCAGCATGTTAATTTTATTTACCATGTCTAAGGTGTTGCTTGAATGGAGGAATGATTTTGCCTATGTGTTGTTTCTTTTCTATTATCTAGTGTGTTCTTTAATGTATATGTGTGTGTGTGGTAAACCTCAATTAGTATTCTGTAATTTATTAGGTATTTTGAAGTTTCTAATATTCCTGCAGTTTTCTTTTCTGTAATTGGTTTCTTTAATGTAAAAGTGGTAATATAGTTAGTTAATCAAAAGATTATCCTCATTACCTGGCGACACCTCTTTTGACCTGAAGTTCTTTTAGTCTTTTGAGTGTTGCTGATTCAGGGGCGTCTCTTTAATTATCTTCACGTCAGAATGTCAGCTTGGTCCGTTGCTTTTCCTATACCTACCATGGCCCTGCCAGCAAGCAAATCCGCTCGTTCATTCTCTCTTACCCTAGAGTTTCCTGGCGCAAAAATGAGATGAATTCTTTTCAGATTATATTTTTTCAGTGACTCCATCAACCCAAATTCGTCCTGTTTCTACCTTCTTGAGCATGCTCATGGAATCACTTAGAAAACATGCATGGGAAAAATGCTGTGTCTCTAGCCACATCACTGCTTTTGTTACCGCCATCAACTCCATAGTCACAGCCCCGCTATATTGTGGTAATATGTTTGCATACAACTCTGAGGTAGTTGTACTAAAGGTAGTTATTATCATCACCATCATTCTCTGTTGGCACTTTGAAGAATATGAAGCTGTCATTGCAGTTGATTTCTTGTCAGGTTTTGACATATACAGTTAATTGACATTATTTGCAGTTTTTAATAATTGGCTCCTGTATGACTTTTTTTCTCTCTCTCTGTGCTCTGCGTTATTGTAATATTTTGTATTTGCTGAGTTGTTCACTTTAAGCAGACCATTGCCATTCCTAAGAAAGTTCTTACTTGCTATATCATGCATAGGGAATACTGCTTTTGAGTGTTGATCAGAAACAAGTAAAAGAAGGTTAGAGTTTTACAAATGAAAAACACACTCATATCTATTTTCTGCCCCTTTCCCCTCCACTTTCTCTCTGTTTTCACATCTGAACTGCTGGTCAACCTTGCTGTTATGCAACCCTTTCATAGAAGGATTAACTGTTTTCTGTTGTGTTCAGGTGTAGCATTTCAGTTGTCAGTGTCTGATATGTTTTCATGTTATTGTTTGTTTTATATTTTTTTAATTTATTGATAATGACTGATGTTGAAATGGTTTGGTCTTGTAGCATGGAATTCGCTTTATTTTAGCGAAAATTCTAAGTGCCATCTACAAAAGATAGAATATAATTCTTCCTCTGTTCTGTACAAGGCATCTAATGACAGACATAGAAAATAATGTGGTTCTGAGGTCGACGTCACTACCACAGTCCAATAGACTAGTTGAGATTACAAGTCAGAAGACAAGATCTCACAAGTAGGCAGTATAGAGAAGAATTCTCATACACTGTTAAAATTATCTTCACAAGACTGGAAGAACAATTAACAAAATGATGTATTAAAATCATAGGACACAAGAGTAGGTGGCGGATTGAGCATATGGATCAATATGCCCATTATTTGTTGTTCTGGATTTGGCTTCTGGCTCTGCCACTGGCGAGACACACTTCTGGACATTTTGGCTCATCTAGGCCAGTCTAGACAATCACTCCTGCACTTGAATTCCTCCTGAAACTAGAGTAATTGAGCAGTCCCTGTAGAAGAAGTTGGGAAAGTTCTGACCGAATACCACACTGCCTTCAGTCCTCATATATTGTTACACTACACACACATATGGAGTAGGGTAGTAACATGTTTTCACATCCTTGAGTGGGGTATATAATGGTGTGTTACTGAACAGAATCTGTACTCCTTATGGAAGATGATAGGAGAAATATTCCATCCACATCAGTTTCTCGAGGATATTATTTCCAAGCACATGAGCCTGGACTGCAAGAAATGAACAATTCACTAAGGGGACAAGACGTTTCATTAACCAACACAGAACAGGCATCATCAGTCGTTTTACATTTGTGGAGCTTTTGAGGAGGAGATCAGAGCCCCTATGGATCTGTCCGGAGTGCTATGATGATAATCCTTTCTAATCACTAATCACAAGGGCTTAACATCACTGAGAGAGAAAACATTCACCTGTGTGAACTGTTCTGCTCTCTTTACTGTAATGAGTCATTTTCTCCTTGTTAATTAATGTTCACATTTGAAATGAGGTTAGAAACTGAACATAAATTATATGCTGAGTTCGGGTGAATGGAATTGAGTACGAATTGTGATGCACGAATAATTCGAGAGAAATGTGCAAATTGGCTGAAGCAGAGAAAGCCTGAGTTACTTGTGTAGAATGTTTGAGAACTTGAGAGAAAGAAAGATTATTTAAAATTAGAATCATCTAGAAGAGTCATTCTTGTTTTTGATGCTGGGACAGTGTGTTTGATGGTGACGAGTGAGAACGGAATGAATCTTACTGCCAGGGAATGTCTGCTGAAGATTTGACTGCGAGTCCCTCTGAAAACCTGACCACTTGTTAGTCTGACATTTTGTCAAGGCTCACCTTTTGTTTATGCTGTTGATGTGATTAAGGAGAAACCTGATGTGTTCATGTTTTGGGGGTTTGGTGATTTGTCATCTGGTCAAAGGTATGAATGCAGTTATTAAGGGTGTTATTTGTGGCTAATGTTGGTCGCCCTAGACAGTTTACCTTAAGTATACTGGCAGAGAACAGAGAATAAACATTTCTTGACCATTAGCTGCGTGGCGTTTTCAACTTCATTGTTTCATGCACAAGATGTTCAGTTAACTGTAACACCTGAGAAGATTATAATTGACATGCTTAAACACACAATCAAATTTCAAAAGATATTCTCATTTTAACCATATGGGTTTATATAACAAAGAATGGGGATCAAGGTTTGAATTTACATGGGTATGAAACTCATAACATGAGCTAAGAGTTTTGCAAATGAATGGGGATAGAAATATCTCAGTCATTATAACTGGGTGCTGGAATAGATGTCTTAACAAAATCATAGATGACAATGGGGTTCCCAATGTCATGCTAGTTACATCATAAAATATTCAACACCAACTCCAGTTAAACTTTGAATGAATACATTCCCTTAATCTTATTCACTCGAGGAAAGAAGTTGGCTAGGATGAAATTGTTATAATTATAAGGCCATACACAATGGTACTGAAAATATATTCCTAGTAATGGGGAATTATATATAACAATATTACAACCTATACCTTCTTCTCTGACAGTGTGAATCTATTAAATTTAGACATTATGTGGTATTCCCTTTTCAGGCTCTCAAACTAATCTCAGAATTTTCTGGACTAAATCTAGACAGTGATTTATAAAACTAAGTCACCACGAGGTTAAATAAAACTAGAAAAAATTTGGTATAGTAAATATACGTTATATACACCTGTTTCCATGTCTAATTGTGCTTCAATACATAGAAATTGGATCTTTTGCCATGGTTCTTCTGTAATGTTGTTCTTCTTTGTCTTTACCTGCTATAAACTCCACAGACAGGTTCTTGTTGTTCTTCCACTTGTAGACTTTGGTCTTATTCCAGAGCTTGAGTTTTGCATGCACATCTGTTTTACAGATCTGACTTATAAGTATGCAGACTGTTGGTTCCTTGCCTCTCAGGCAGATGCACTCTAACTTCGAAAGATACACCCCTAATTGGTAGACTTTTATGACACGCTTGCTAGGGAGCTGTGGGTCTATTCTTTTCCCCCTCCAGAATGGAGTTTTGGAACCCACACAGGGAATACTGTTGTTGATCTAATTGCAATGTTTCTACTACAGATTTTGGTTTTCTCCTAAATGTCTTGCAATGTCAGCTAATTGTATGTCTACTTTTTTAATGGTATTTGTTAGTACTATGAATTCATGTATATAAAATGTACTGCAGAGTAGTGTTTTGTTAATAAATGTAAATAGATAGAAAGTTACGCTTCATACATTATCATTGATAGTTTTGTAAATGAAGTTTGTCATTTAGTTTTGTTTGTAACCAGTCTGTTATAGGTTCCTACATTCGTCTGTTTGAACCACTGGTTATCAAGGCTCTCAAACAGTACACAGTGACCTCCAGTTTGGATCTACAGGTTTGCTTACAACAAATAATTTGTCTGGTATTTCAGTTTTCTGTTTTCATATGTTAAGGGTGTATAGAGAGAATAGCAGATAACAGAGAGACAGAAACTGCATACACAAAAGATTTGAATGGGAGTAGACCAAGAAGATGGTGGTTAAACAATATGTTTGCAGATCTACACTTGGAGTCAATATCTGTCAGGAGAAGGCTAATCAGAGAGATAAACTAATGTGGGTAAAATCTGCAGCAGTGAACCAAGGGCTCAGAATACTGAAAAAGAAAAGGATATGTTTTGAAAACTTCTGGAAAATACTGCCAACTGTCATTTTCATCTTCCCCATGTTAGTTTGTAACTTGCTGCTTTCCCTTCATATTTCGTTGTTATTTTACAATTTAGTAACACTCATATAAATTTATAAAGTAAGTAAAGGGCCTTTCTCCACGCCTTCAGGCACATTGGGCGTATAAGGCTAGACCTATATCTTATAGACCAATCGGCACTGGGTGGGTGTTGTGGTCAGCATCACGCTGGCTGCCTTTACTTACCAGAACTGCTCCTGGTACCCACTTAAGGTTGGATTGACCTGAGAGCCAAGGTCATTTTTGAAAAAAGTCCAGCTCCATCAGGACCTGAACCCACGACCTTCCAATCCGCAGGCGAATGTCTAGCTGCCACACCACAGCAGCTCTCTCTCTCTATCTCTCTCTCTCTCTCTATCTCTCTCTCTCTCTCTCTTTCTCTCTCTCTCTCTCTCTCTTTCTCTCTCTCTTTCTCTCTTTGTCTCTCTTTCTCCCTCTCTCTCTCTCTCTCTCTCTCTATCTCTCTTTCTCTCTCAAAAACACACATACACATGCACACACTTACAGAGAGAGAGAGAGAGAGAGATAGAGAGAGACAGCAATAATTACCACTAGTCAAGTAAAAAAGGTCTATTTTCCATGCCATTAAACGTATAGGATATATAGTGCTAGGCCTATATTTTATAGACCAATAGGGATTTGGTAGGTGATGTGATCAACGTCAGGCCAGCCACCTTTACACCCCATCATTTTATCTAGTAGCAATTTTAGGCTGGCTAGACCTGGGAGCCAAGGTTATTAAAAAAAAATCTCGCTCTATGAGGATTTGAATCTACAACCTTCATTAACCAAAAGGAAGCTATTTTGTTTATAATTGCTGTCATTAAAAATATATTATCTTCCTGATCCATCTTTTTAAACCTCTTCTGTTTTCTTGTTTTGCTTCTCTACTTTATTCGTTTTACCTTTCTGTCACAAATAAATATTTTAAACTTTCGCATCCTCACCCTATCAGCTTTGCATAACAAAGTATAAAAAAAAAATTTTTTAATTATTATTTGTAAGCACACACATATACTAATTTCTATTACAGCGCCAGGTCCTTGCACTGTTGGCTCAGCTGATCCAACTGAGAGTTAATTACTGTCTCCTGGATTCAGATCAAATTTTTATTGGCTTTGTCATCAAACAGTTTGAGTTCATTGAGGAGGGTCAGATAAGGTAAAAAAAAAAATAATTAAAAATAAGTTGGTATGCTTTGTTAAACAGTTTTCATAACTATCCATCTGCACAGATCTTTAGTTTGCACCTTTATTACCAGTGCCTGAAAAGGCACCAAACATGTTACAAGAGGCAACAAGAGAGGTCAGGTGTGCGTCTTGCTGGCTAGTCTTATAGAAAAACTAGTAAAGTAAAAGACCTTTGTCCACACCTTTCAGGCATGTTGGGTATATATTTTAAAGACCAAAGACACAAGGTGAGTGATGTGGTCAGCATGACGCCGGCTGTCCTTAATTCCCAGGACTGCACCCGGTACCCACTCAAAGGCTGGGTCAACCTGGGAGCCAAGATCATTTTTGAAAAAGTTAGCATTAAGGCTTTGAAAAACGTTCTTTTTGTTTTGTTTTGTTTTTGGTTTTACTTTATTTAAATACAGCATGGTATTTATCTCTATTAGTTCAAGAAGGTTGTAGCTAATATCTGATTACGACAATATTGAAAGCAGAAAGATCATAGGTCTATTACATCCACAGGGCCTGAATACACAGTCCTTGTAGGAAACAGACATGTTGTTGAAGTGTTTGAGTATGCCCTGACTAATTATATGATGTACAAATGTACATAACATGTAACAATACTTTATTGTCATTTCAGGAATTCAGAGTTGCTTATTCCCCACATCTTCCAGTTTCTGGTGATGTTATCGTATGAGAAGTTCCACAGCAAGTCTATCATAGACATGCCACGCATCATTCATCGTTGCGATGGCATCATGGCAAGTGGACTCCAGCCAACTACCCATGGTGAGTATTTGTGTGAATAGACCTCCACCTAGCCCCCCCCCCCCCCCGCCCCACCCACCCCACCCCTTTGTTTTTTTTTTAATTTTCATTTTCTTCTCCAGGATTGCAGTCTGTTGTGTAGGATCAACATCTCAAGGATGAGATTCAAGCTGCTACAAAACCTGGAAAGCCTGTTCAGCCATATAGCTATAGAGCACAGGTTTACTGGTGCATCACAATGTTGAATTAAGAATCAACATCATAGCATTTGGGACACTCCCACAAGCACTCCTTCTCCATCTTCATCAGCAAGTGAAGTGTTCCTATTCCGATGATACCAGTAACTGTCTGACTGTTTATCCGTCCCACCTTTCCCTAAAGTGTTGAGAGTCTGCCACATCCCCTGGTAACTTGCCACAGTGCCCTTCTCAGACCTTAATGATCTATTTGTGGGGGCATCACAAAATCGTTAGAAAGTAACCTACAGTCCATTGTGTGTGGGTTGTGGTGAATTGCTTCAATTCTGCTTGTTTTTATAGTGAAATGACTATTGGCTGTGTGTTGAAAGTCTACTTTTTCCTTTAATGGATGCTGGCAGGTTTGAATATAGGTATGGTAACTTGCTTTTGATTTGTATGCAGTTTAGTGTTTCTTCCTAACTCTACTTTTTTTCTATGCTTACCTTTTTTTCTATGCTTTAAAGATTGGCGACACTACTCCTAAATTTATCTATTGTAATTTAAAAAAAAATATATTTTGTATTGAATGATTTTTTTTACAGGGAATTCAGAAGTTGTTAACAATTTAGCAGGGAAGTATAAATGTTGAAACAAAAACTGCAGCTTAAAAGACTTGAATGGTATAGACCGCAAGGTAGAGTAAGAAAACAGTGGAGAGATAAAATATGGGCAGACCTACTTCTTCGATCGCTTTGTCAGAAAACTTATATCAAGAGGCTGGTAGCCTTAATGGAAGCTATTGTACTGCCTAAATCTCCCTGTGTACCATACATCTTTGTCTTTGCTAAGGTTAGAAGAGGACAGATCACTTCTGTGTTAGCAGTATACTGTTTATTGTGTTGGATCACATGCTCAGCATTTTCTGGTGCCAAGTCACAGGGACACATCTCTGTGTTTCCTACACGGACAAACTTGAACATATGTTATCAAAGTCTATTTTGCCCTGTCCTTAGTCTGTATATAACTCATGTTGCTCTCTAGAGAGGCGATGGAGCAAGTCTTAAGGATAACATTTTTGTGTGGGAGGCAGACCTCCACAAAAGTAGATACAAGACGTTGAAGATACATTGGCTATGAAAGCACATAGAGCTGGATAATTCGCTATAGAGAGATTTTCAGGCTTGTTGTGATGAGAGCAATGTTCTGTAAAGGACATGCTGATTAATGATGATCCAGCAACTTTTCTTGGATATTAGTTTTTATTAATGTCCTAATCTTTTGGTGGATTCAGTCATAATTTCATTGCATCATGTCACTGCCACTTCTGACCAGTCTGTTGCCAAATCATTGCTTTTCAAGCCTCTGTGACCTGGATTCTGGTGCATGATAGACTTTTCCACTGACGATCCTAGGCAGGCTTTTCAAACGCTTGGAGTCACCAAATGGAAAGAGAAGGCCAATCACAGAGATGAATGGAGGCGGTTAATATCCGCAGCAGTGAACCTCAAGGTCTCAGAATATTAAAAAACAAAAAGAGAGGAGCTCACTCTCTGTCACACTTGATTATTTATTTCATTGTTGATTAATCATGATAAGGCCTGTGTTCTTGTCTGCGTTATGTCATTTTACCAAGTCATCTAAGCTTTCAAGTTTATTTCTCTCTGTATAACATACCCAGAAAATCTTGAATGTCTGCATCTAATTTCTTCAGTTGATTTGCTGTCATAATCTCTTTAGCTAGTAGAGTTAAAATCACTGAAAAGCCCTTTGAAGGTAAAAGGGGAAACCGTGGCTGTACACTCTTCATGCATTATGGTCTGAAAACACCCACCATTTCTCATAAACAGCTTTATAGGGGCAGCTTCACCTAGTTAGGAAAGTATAGTTCATCAGGTAACTTTAATATTGTGCATAGGCAATTTATATTTCTACATAATCTCAAGATATTATTTAATTAAGTATTGTTTTCCTTGTTCTTTATCTTTCAGCCATACCAGCATTGCGGCCTGTAGTATATGATCTCTTTCTGCTGAGAGGTACGGTCAAGTCTGAGGTAGGCAAGGATCTAGAGACACAGAGGGAGGTAGTGGTGTCCATGCTGCTGAGATTGGTACATTGTTATCAGGTAAATGAATCCGCTGTTTAGTTTGAGGGTGAACAATTTATAGAAATAGAAGTTAACAGATTTGATTAGAAAGATCAGTGAGAAAACTGACTGTTTTCTTCTTCTTCTTTACCTTCACCGGCTGTAAACTGTGGCGGAAGGCTCTGATTGTTTGTCCACTTCTGAACTCTAGTTCAGTTCCAGAAACTAAGTGTTGTGTTTAAAAAAAAGAGGGGGGGGGGGGGGGGGGGTAAAGGTCCCTTTTCCACGCCTTTAGGCGTATAGGGCATATAGGGCTAGACCTATATTTTTTATAGACCAATCAGCATCAATTTTTAGACTTCGGACTGGACACTGTGGTCTTCGAGCACACTTGTACAGGATAGGCATAAAAGAATTTGCTGCCTGTGACTGTGGAGCAGAAAAACAGACCCCTGAGCACATGCTACAGTACTGTCCTAACCTCTCCCAGCAAAGACTGTGGATCTGGCCCAAGGGAGCCACATTCAAGAGAAGCTATGGGGGAACCGGTGGTGACCTTAAACGCACAATCCTTTTTGTGACCCAGATGGGACTCAATGTTTAGCATGACTGATGTCGAACGCAGAAGAAGAAGAAGCACAAGATGGGTGATGTGGTCAGCAGCACGCCAGCCGCCTTTACTTCCTAGGACTGTACCCGGTACCCACTCAAGGCTGGGTCGACCTGGGAGCCAAGGTCTAGCTCCTCCAGAGAGCGAACCCACAACCTTCCGATCCGAGGCAAGCGTCTAGCCCCTCTGCCACAGCGACTCCCAATCCATTTTTTAATAACTTTTATCTTCTTCTTCAGCACACCGAGCCCTTGTGATTCATTGCTGCTTCCATCCATCTGTAACTGACTTTCTTTTTCTAGTTGGTGACTCCTAACGTTTTAAGACCCTACCTTCATATCAACATCACGCTGTGAAGATAGTTTCACGGCTTTGTTCACCCGTTCATGAGTGCAGTTTCTGCGGAAAACATTGGGGAATCATTGCCTGAATTCAGGTTCAGGCTTTGTGTGATGCACTTGGCAAGTAGCTAGCCATTCTGCAGAAAAAGACTAAGCAATCAGGGATGCACCTGGTGCAGTGAAGTCGATCCTTTTGACTTCAACATTATTTGTACTTGCTATTCTTATCATGTTAAAAAAAATTTGAATAGAAATGAAGAAGGTACCTATTTAACAAATAAAAGGTAGAAAGCCAAATTAGCATCCATGAAGAAAGAGAAAAGACAGTATAGAAGTGGATGTAATAATAATCATCATCATGTGCCCTGCCACCTGGCGTAGGCGCTCATGCGTCTCCACAGATCACGATCCCTGGTTGCCTGGAACAGTTTTGATGATATACCTCCTTGCATCGTTTCAGCTCACCCAGCATAATCTCTCTTGGTCTACCTCTACCCCCTTTTCCACTGATCTTTCCAGTTGTCACAATGTTCTCCAATGTCTTTCTTGTCATTATTTGGCCAAAGAACAGTGTTTGTCTCTTTCTTATTGTTGTATATAGAGATCTACTTTCATTAGCTTCTTTCAGGCAATCATTGTTAGTTACTCTGGCTGTCCAAGGTATTCGTAACATTTGTCTCAGAAACCACATCTCTGTTGCTTCCAAATTCTTCCAAATTTGTTCACTGACATTCCAAGATTTGCTGCCATACAGCAGAACAGGTTCTGTGTAACATTTTAGCACCTTCTTTCCTAATAATGATGTTAAAATACTAAATATGATTAACTGAAGCAGCATCATTGTTGATAGAAACAAATAGAAATAAGCTAGCAGCAGAAATCTTAACAGGCTTGAAAAGCTAAAGTGTACTCATAGTCTGTTATTATTTGTGCACATATTAGCCACTGACTGACTCACATCGTTTCCTTGTGTGTTTTGCAGGCTTTGGACATGTTTGTGATAGTCCTGCAGCAGTGCCACAGAGAGAGTGAGGAAAGATGGAAACGGTTGTCCAGGCAGGTCATGGATGTGGTTTTACCAGCTCTAACCAAGCAGCAGGTCTCTGTTTTGTTTGTCTATAGTTGTGTTTGTGTTGGTAGATGTATGCTGTACTTATATACATTTTTGTGTGTTTGTGTTGGTAGATGTATGTTGTACTTATATACATGTGTGTTTTTGCATGATGGTAAATGTGACTAAAACTGAAATCAGTAGATTTCCAAGCCATCTACATATAATATTGAATGGCACCTGGCTGAAAAATTGTGAAAATATGGGGGGGGGGGATGTGACTGCAGTCAAGCTAATACAAGGAATTCAGTTTTACAAATGCTGCCTGGTCGAAACATTACATTATTTGTGTTTTGTGCACGTCATTCTGCTTTCCCATTTGGTTAAGCTTTTAAGTCTAATTTCCTTGGAATTCACCTGGCTGAAGCAGGTTGAAGATTTTAACTGTCTGGGAAATATATTCTCTGAGGATGGGAGAATAGTTCGGGAAATAGAAACATGATGCCAATGGGCAAGAGCAGTTATGTACCAACTGACACTGTTATTGAGACATCAAAACAAAAGTTTGGCCGCCAAGAAACAGATTGCAACATATTCATACCAACTATGTTACCAGTGCCAGACTTGGACATGATCAAAAGCTAACCTGTGTAAAATTAACACCTGTGAAATGAGATGCCTGAGGAGAGCCACAAACTTAGCTATCCAAGACAAAGTGAGAAATGGTTCTATCAGACAGGCTGTGGAAACAACACTATGCTCCAGACTCATTGAGAAACAGAGCATAAAATGGTTTGGTCATCTTGTTAGATTGTTGTTAAAACAACTACCAACACAAGTGCTACACATGAACAGATCTAATAGGATGTGAAAGCAAGAGGTCACCCTAGGAGAGTGTGGATTGATGACATTAAAGACCATCTGCTTCAACACGGAGTGGCAGTAGCCATTGTTACCCATCAAGCAGTGAATCACAAACTGTTCCTTTCCCTGACACTTAATGCGAAAGTGAAAATTGATGATGATGTTGTGTTTATGCATGTGTATGTGCATATACCGGAACCATGGTCAGCTTAGTGACTGGGATCCCTGCTGGCTGGCCTGGTGATCTCATGTGATTTAATTTAAATAGAGCTGGGGATTTAAAAACTATTACCAAGGCTGCATGGTAAAGAAAATTTTTTTTGGCAGTAAAAGTGGCCAGTGTGATATTGACTAGTTCTGTTTTGTCCAAAAATATGGATGCCATACACTCGATACTTCCCCTGGCATAAAATGAAATAACTTAGTCTGTTTTGTGTGCATTCTTGCTGATGTACATTCATAACTGTGTTTACTGTTTTGTGTGTAGGCATGGATTTATTTTGTTTGTGTTCATGTTGTATTTGTAGGGAAGAAAGAAATGAAAAGTTCTGTTTGAAACATTATCAAATTTCTTATTTCGTTTAGGTAAAATATGTACCTGTAAAGGTTCTAGGAAGCATCGTCGTCATCATCTTGTTGTGCCATTATACGTCATATTGAGCTTTGCAATCTAGTCCTCTGTTCCGTTAAATTCTGTGAATTCTTTGGATATGGATGGAATCCAGTGTAGCTTCTTTGGCCTCTCTCAGCATTGTTCTTCTTAAAGTTTCTCTTGAGCATCCTCATTTCTCTTGTCTATTTGTTTTTATATTTCAGTGTTTTGTGATGCTTGGTCTGCTATAACTGTTGATACAAGCACTTGTGCAGACATTTCTCTTATTTCTCCACCTTTCTTGAATTCGGTTCATTTAATTTTCTAAGGTATTATTTACTAATGCAGTTAACTTTTGTTTCATGTCTAAATGGCAAGGCAGCCCATAACATATTGACATATCACCCACCCCTTGAATGCAATCATTATGGGTACCTTCGAGTGGCTGCTGCATTGGAGGACTGAGCATGCATGGGGAAAGATGTCAATTTGTGATAACATAACGTAACAACCAAACATAACCTTTTAAATGCCATCTTCCCTGTGTGGGTCCCGGGGCTCATTTTGACGAAAAAAGAATAGCCTCACTGCCCCACTAACAAGCGTGCCATAAAAGTAAACTAATTAGGGGTATTTCCCTTTGGAAGTTGAAGTGCATTTGCTTGAGAGGCAAGGAACCAACAGTCTGTATATAAATAAACAAGATCTGTAAATTGGATTTTACATGCAGAACTCGAGTTCTGGAACAAGACTCACAGTCAAGAAGAGGATGAAAAACAGGAACTTCCTGCCGGAGTTACAGCCGGTGAAGGGTAAGAAGAAAAAGAAGAATAGAAACAGGGTCATTTGTATTTATATTTTGTATTCTAAAATCATAAAGAAGCCATATTTTAAATATAATTATTATGTTTCAGATAAACCTGGACAGTCAGGACTCACTAGATGTCCTGCACCGCTTGTTTGAATCTGTGTCACCCAGTGTGTTCAGGCCTGTTGACTTCCTCCTGAAGACTTTGCTTGCTCCTCCCCATGATGTGGTAAGATGGAACATTTATTGTGTCTGGGCTGCTGGTGTGAAAAGCAATGAGAGAGCATATGCTATGGCTGGTAGTGCGATTATCGGAAATGGGCCCTCTATGAACAGGAGAGACATCATCAATGCCATATGAGAGATTAAACGCTGTGAAGCTTTCAGTTTCATGGAAAATGATTTTTCACTGAATAGACTGCATACCCTGGGTGTACCAGTTGGAGCTGCGAGACAGGAAAACCATACGGGAGCCACCCATCATTACATCGGCCAGAACACAATGGCAGTTGTTAGCCAAAAAACACTTGGAGACATACTCAGGAGGAGATCGGAGCACTTATGGTCATGTCTAATGTACAATGAAAATGAACTCAAAAATGGACAATGAAAAATGAACAATTTATTGTTTCCATGAAAATTTAGCCATAAACAAAATTCAGAGCTGGTATCTAATACGAGGTCAGTTCTGTGGCTTAGGTGATGCAAATGCACTTCATAATTCTGTGGTGCTGGGTTTGATCCCAGCAGTGCATGAACAGCAAACTTCCTTGCATTGCTAGAGCTGACCGCTCAGTGGCAGTAACAAACTATTGAATTTAAAATCGCCTACTGAAATTACAACATCCAAAAAATGCTGGGGTTGGTTCTGCAATGTCCTGTAATGGACACTCAGCTAACTTTATTTATTTGTTTATTATCATTTATGAGAATATATGGTCACATAATGGTTTGTAACTTTCAGTTCTTATATATTACTATGGGCTTCACCTAACCATTACTGGTCTGTTACAATCTAGGATAGACAAAGGCTTATGAAACAAATGCCAGAGATTTCGCTAGGAAAATAAAGACACACACTGTTTAGTTTAATTTTTAAAGGAATATAAAGTTAAGTAAAAGTAAAGATCTCTTTTCATGCCTTTAGGTGCATCAGGCATATGGAAAGAGCACACATATTTTTACAGACCAATCGTCACTAGGTGAGTAATGTGGTCAACATTGCGCCAGCCATCTTTACTTCTCCGGGACATACATCCTGGTACCAATTTTAGACTGGGTCGACTTGCGACGCCCCATACTATGATAAAAATCCATGTAGCCAGCAGTAGGTTTCGATCGTGGTATGTTGGAATTACAAGTCAGACTCGCAAGGTCTAAGCCATGGACGCCGCCTAAAGGAAAATATTCATTGATTAAAGGACATAAGGGCTCTTTCTAAGATCACACAACTAGATTCTCAGCACAGTGCATGTAGGACCAGCAAGGATCCACATATTTGTAAGCTAGCTCTTTAAGTCCCAGGGGGTTTAGCATCACAGGCCCAGGGGGTAGTAAAGAAAGTAATAAAATCGGCGCATCATGCGTTCATTGGGCTTCTAGGTAGGAGCCTATGAACGTGTGATGCGTTCCTTGGGACTCAAAGAGCTAGGGTCTCACTTGCTTCTTAGAAGAAGAGGCAGGGTTCAACCATTATGAAAATACGGACACGGAATATTTGAGACTTCTTGGGCAATGAAACTGTAAGACAAGGAAATTGGCAAAGGACAAAGTGGGAATTTTAACAGGCAATGGTGCCAGTAAAATCACAACATGTGAGATGAGATGTATAAGAATTGTGGTGGGAAGAACAGGAAAAGACAAGAGTCACTACTGTAGAACTTAGAACAAAAGTAGACGCACTATACCAGTAAATTATTTCATAGAACATCAAAGAATCAAATGATTTGGTCATCTGGTCAGAATGGAACAAAATCAGACAGCAGATACAGCGTACTTCATGAGAACAGCAGGCTACAGGGTAAGCAGTTGATCAAGAAAGATCGGTCTATGGAGTAAAAGAGACACTATAGAAATGCATTGTGTCATCACAAGCTATCCAACTAGCAAAAGATGGTAAACTACATTTAACTTTTCTCTGTGACACTTTACGGCATAAGCCGTAAGACAAAAGTAGAAGAAAGAAGAAGATTGTGTGAGTGAGGTTCTGCAAAATACCTGCTACATGAGTTTTCTAATGTTGATGTTAGCTTTGCATAACAAATTATTATAGAAGTCATTATTTTATGTGATGTGAAACTTGTTGTATGCATCATCTCCATCAGAGAAATCTACCAAGCCTGCAGAAGTGGCTGTGTTTGGTTCTCATCATTTTGAGAGTCCTTATTGCCCAGTCAAAAGAAGAGGTCATTCTGTCACGACTGACGGAATTGCAGGTAAGATTTCAGTGACTTATATTGAGTTGGCATCTGTGGCTTAGGAATTGCGAACACACTTCATAATTCTGAGCTATAAAGTTTAATTCCAGTTGTGGAAAATTAGGCAGCAGACCGCTATGTGCTGATTTTGACATGGGCATTGAGAACCTCATGCCTCAAAACATTACGAATTCAGATCTGGGCACATGGATAACATCAGATGGAAGATGCATAACTGAGATAAGAAACAGAATAGGACAGGCGAAAACTGCATTTTATAAAATGAAGAACATCTTGTGCAATATATCTTTGTCATTGAGAGTGAGAAAAAGAATTCTTGCTTGCTACATACATCCAGTTTTAACATATGGCTGTGAATCCTGGACAATTGGTAGGCAGGCCAAACAATTTCTTGAGGCCTCAGAGGTGTGGTTTTACAGAAGAATGCTTAGAATACCTTGGACAGCCAAAAAGAGCAACCAAGAGGTTTTGAAAGAGACAGGAGCCCGAAGACAGTTTATCACATACATCAGAAGGAGACAGTCATCATTTTTCGGCCATGTTATGAGAAGACGGAAAATAGAACATGTTGTGACTACTGGAAAGATATGTGGAAGGAGGAATAGAGGAAGACAACGAGAGAAGATTCTTGACAGTCTTTGTGCTTGGCATGGAGGTGTGTCGGCACATGAACTGATACATGCTGCAGGAGATCGCAGATTGTGAAGAGGCATGATTGCCCACGCCAGTCGGCAAGGCACCTGATGACGATGATGATTGAGAACCGACCATTCACTAAAGCAATTGCAAACTACTGGATGTAAAATTACCTAGTAAAACCAAAACAGCCAACAAATGCTGGGTTTGGTTTAACGTTGTATAAAGAATATGTAACTAACTTTTTAAAATTTTTTCTTAAATACAAAGCAAATTAAGTAGTTAAGTCAGGCTGTTCAACATGAAGCTGGTATGCAATATCTTAACTTAATTGTCCTAATTTCTTTTACATATCACTCTCGCTTCCATATTTGTGATCTGCACAGAACTTATCCTTTGAATGGAATAATGACAGTTTGCACTAGTCTTCAACGTTCACATGAGTGGTTTGTGACTTTTAAAAAAAATATAATTTCAGATTGTTAGAAGAGATTCTGCTGATTTACATAGCTCTCTACTTATCCTGGTGGATACTTGAACCCCTGTTTACATTAGTTGTTGTTTTATGTGCTGTTTGCCTTTTACTGTATTAGAAGATAGTATTAGCAGGAACATTTATACTTTAAACATATGGAGAGTTTAGGCGAGCAAAAGTATATTTCTTTATGTATAAAATAGTACAGAAAATGATAAGTATGCATGCAGATCAAGAATAAAAAGGACTTGGTTAATAATAAGCATCATTACCCAAGGATTGTCAGACTGTCATCAATGCCTGTATTTATCAATTTTGTGTAGGTAGGGGAGAGATGTAATGACCCAAGTTTTACAGTAGCGATAGAACTTTTACCCTGGTAAGAAATACATCTACTTAACATAATCTGTGTATAAAGAGACAGGGTTCAGAAAGGCTTAGGCCAGAAGAGACAACGGCATGATAAGCATGATTGTTGGAGAACACAAGCAGGAGTGAGCTGTGTTAGTTATTTGTGCGAATTGAATGCATGATTAGAAGGGTGAAAGAACTGCACATAATTCTGTGTTTGGCACTGAGACAAGGAGCATGAAAGAGTCTATGCGAGCGAAGCTGAAGACTTGAGTCTTCCCTAGCAGCCTGCAGAGGCTGTGAGGCTTACAAGAACATTTGACAGAAACATGGCTTTAAAAAAAGACAGGTGGGTCATGTATAACACCTAAATGCTATTTTAGGTATTATATTCATATCGTGGCCTATTAAAGACTGCACAGATGCACATAGAACCAATAGAATTTAACTGAGCTTTTCAAGAACAGGTCACTGCATACAGACCAGTAGTATATCAGTATTTAATTATTTAATGTAATAAAATTCTATCCTCTTGAGGCGAGCAGGTTAAGAGCTCGGGGTGCTGAAGAAGAAGCAGCAAAATTGTTAACACAAATGCAAGCATTTTTCAAACCCATCATTGTCATGTGTAATGTCAATGGTTATTCATTGTCGTGGTTGACTATCTTACACAATTTCTAGTCTTGAGTATGTCTTCTTGCGACGATAATGCCTTGTAGTCAAATCATTCATGAGTTTATATCTTTGAATTCCTTCTGCTATTTTCCTATCTAGTTTCCTAGTTGCTGCTAAGTTCTTCGTCTTCTTCTTTTCTCCAGATGCGATCTGCCTTTCAGCATCAAGTTTTTAAGAGGCATCTAATGCGAGCCTTGGTGTGTGCTACATCGAAGGTGGTATTCATGGCCCAAGATATTCCATCTACCCATCGCTTGCAATGAGCACCCTCTAGCTCTGCTTCTATTATGTTTAAATGGCAAGGCTGTTTGTGATGCACTAGGTTTTGGAGTGTATTTCTCCTCAAAATTTGTCCACAATTTCTTGATTGTTTGGGTCTAATTTATTTGTCATAAATGTATACAATAGTAGAAAGTACTGATTCCTGTTTTTCATATGTGAATAATATTCCTCTGATCATTGCAGTTGCATGTTTGTCTGATAAGAGAACTGGACAACACAGATACATCTTCTATAGTAGAAATGCTACGCAAACTGACACCAGAAGAAACCATTGCCTGGTGAGTACAGTTTAACTGTTTTAATGTAATGTAATGTTCATTACTGTCTCTGCGGTCAAAGTTGGCTGCAGTGAATTATCAGCACTGTCAGCTTATTCAGCTCTTAACTGTATTCTCCCACATATATCGTTGTGTACCTCTGCTTTCAACTTTTCACTCCAGTGGGATTTTAGAAGAATATTATTTCTTTTTCTTCTGAAAGTCCATGCTGTGTGGCATTGATAGTCATTCACAACCTTCTGTCTCATGTACTTTCAGTCAACTCTGATACAGATAATCCTCCATGCCATGATGTCAGACTGTACAGCATCTTTTCTCTTGGTTACCCTCTGCCGCTCATCCCCTCCAGCTTTCCTACTGTCATGATGAACTCCAGTGTTCTCCATCTCATCGCTTGACCAAAGAATGTAGACTGTCTCTTTCTGATGTGGGCAGTCAGTTAGTTCTTTTTGTGGGTCAGCTTATTTCAAGACTAACTCAGTGACATTTTATAGTTAATTCATTGACATTTCAAAGTTAACTCTTTGACATTTCATAGTTAATTCATTGACATTTCATGGGTAACTTATTGACATTTCATAGTTAACTCACTGATATTTCATAGTTAACTAATGATGTTTCATAGTTAAATCATTCTGTACCAGGCAGTGCATCATAACATTTATTGATTACCCCATGCATTATGTTACACTTCTATATCCTGTTTGTCCCTATATCCTGTCTGTCCTATAAGGCTATCATTCAAGTGTTGTAAATCCAAGCATGGCTATTTTGTTTTTAAAATTTGCATGAGCCACATATGCGCAGAAAGAGTTAAATTAATTGTTGTCTGAATGTTGAATTTAGAATTGACATCACAGCACTCAGGACACTCCCTTTGCACTCTGTCCCCCATCTTCTGCAGCAAGCGAGGAGTTCCAATTCCAGTTGTACCAGTAACTGTCTGATTGTACATCCATCTCGCCTTTCTCTTGATTGTTGAGCATTGGCCAGATCCCCTGGTAACTCCCTGCAGCACCATTCTTCTCAGACAGTAATGATCTATTTGTGCCTCTGCACTGTCCACTCACTCATTAAGGGCCCTTACAACATCTGACTTGTCATACATCAGTTCACCACCAGGTGGTGCAGAACAGCCAGTCTGTCTGCCTAATTCTTTCCCAACACACCATGATAACCTAGAGAAAGTATCCACAGAACACTAACTACCTGGGACCTCTAAAGCGATGATTGCCGCTCCGCACGGAGCATGCCTTTCTCTACCTTTCTCAGCATACTCTGTGAGTCAGTTACAGTATGGATGTGTATGTACAGCTGATTGTCAAGCCAGCTGCAGGCAGCAGTGACTGCCTCCACCTCCATTCTCAAACTAGACATTGTGATATCATAGTTGTCTGACGCTGAAAGAGCTAAGAGTCTCCTCATCATCATCCTTTGCGTTTGTCATGCTGATAAGCATAGTCTGTTATGTTTTGCCAGCTTGTCAGCATTCTTGTCTCACCCCATCCATATGGTTGAGCCATTCAATTATTTATTTCCTCGCCTTCTCTTCCTCTTTTCCCCATCAGTCTGACCAGTTGTTACCAAATCATCAATCTCATTTCTTCTCAGAAAATGTCAGATTGGCACCTTTCCGTCTTTTCAGGCGATAGGGTTATATTTCCCTATGAGGACACATGGGACTCACAGCCCATGGCGATGGTGAGTTTGACTAGCAAGACCCGCCTGCATTAAGAAGAGTCTTCCACAATGATGGCTTAGGATTTCAGGATCATTGTTGTCAACATTTGTGTTTAGTGTGTTTCTTCTCAGATGCTCAGCTCTCATCCGTTCTACAATAATTTCTTCCTTCACTCTCATTCCCTTCCTGATATGCACTTTCCACACAACACAGCCCATGACATTTTGTTCCATCGAGTCCACCTCAATACCTCTATCATTTATGTACCACTTGCACACATCTTTATTTTGTAGTAGTGGTCGGCCTCAACATTTTCTACTGGTCTTTAATTCACCATAGAGAATGTTCTTAGGGACTCTGCCATCCTCCATTCTCCAGGTGTGACCCAGCCACCTGAACCTTCATAAACTGAGCATTTAGAAAACTGTTGTAATACCTGCTCTTTCCAATAGTAATAACATATCGACACACAGAAAAACAGACTATGACATGTTAGTCTACATTAAATATTAACACCTAGTTGTTTTATTCCTGTTTTCATAATGTTTTTTTCTTTAACTCTTTGTAATCCCACAGGTTTCTGCTTCAGGTGATTGGTAAATGTTCAGAAATGCTGGATCAGGAAGCGTCTCTGCTAGTATCAAATGGTGCCAACAGTGCAACTATCACATCCAGCAATGTTTATGCCAGCAGATATCGTTTTTTGCTGCAGCAGACACTACATCTGCTCCTGTATATTACACACATGTTCCAGTCAGGTAACATTTAGTGTAGAATGTGCATTTTCTCCTGCGTCTTCTGTGTTCACCATAAAAAAAGGTGCTTGCCATATTGTTTGTTAGTTAGTTATACTTAGTTGTTGTTGTTGTTGTTATTGATCCAGCGGCGCATGAGCTTTCGCCCTTTGGCCCAATGCCATGTAGTGGAATTTACATGTTTTCACAAGCTGTTCTTTTCCTCCGTACAAGGTGTTCCACCTGTCTGGTCTCGGAGGGAGTAGCATTTTTCTAGTCTCGTTGAGTTTTGGGCACTCAAAAAGATGATGGTCAACAGTTTCGTAGGGTTAGTTACATAGCTGGCACTCTGGGGAGTGTTGTGGCTGTATTCTGTTTTGGTGTCCTTTGAGTGGAGTATGTTATGTTCTGAGTCTGAAGTAATATAAAGTTATACTTAGTTAAGTGACAGATTATCCTCTTTGCGCATCGGATAAGTCCATGAGCGGTCGTATCCCATCTTCAGTATATCCCTCAGCGTGCAGTGACCTTTAACACCAGTTCTGTATTGGTTTACTATTCTTCTTTGGCTACCTGTATAATGTTCATATTTTGCAAACTTGTCTAGTCAAAACCAACAGCGTATTCCACCATGATGATAGCAAATATTTCAAATCTGCCTCACGCTGATGAACATATCTCCAAGACGGTTTCAGCTCAAGTGCAAAAACGCTGTAGCACCAGCAAAGATCTTGAGAAAAAAATATTTGTTTTGTGGTTTACAACTAGTTTTGGATATCTAGGCCATTAGGTCTGACACATTTGATTTCATCAAACCCTTAATTAGTCGCTGTTGATTGTTAAGGAGATTGAGTACATTCTTTCTCCCTCGACTCTCCCTACTCTCCAAATAAAAGGGTGGAGGGAGGTGGTCAGGCTGTTTGCCTCGTGCTCTAAAGGTCATAGGTTTGCTTCACAGCAGTGCAGTTCAGTGCACGAGTGAAATTTTTAGGGAGATCCCTGCTGATCGACGCCGGAGCTACGGAGGTTGTGCTCTGTTTGACTCTCGGCAGGCAGTGAGCTGTTCTGAGGAGAGACTAAGCCATATAGGATGAAACCAGGTGCAATAAAGTCGATCCTTTCTTTACCTTTATCTTTTACCTTGAACATCTTAAGTTTAGTCAGGCAAACTAAACCAGTCCAGCGTCACAAGTCACCCACAATGTGTTGTCTTCTTCTCTGTTCACTGGCTGTAAGCCATGGCAGAAAGTCCTGAATGTTTGTCCAAATGGACTTTGGCTTTGTGCCAGGGCCTTAGTTTTGAGTGTATATCCGTTTTACTGGCTTATTCATGTACAGTTGATTGTTCCTTGCCGCTCGGGCGGATTCCCAGAAATAAACATCAGTCTTAATAGTGCTCTTGATAGAGCTTATCAACGAGCGTTACATCCCCCCCCCCCCTTTTTTTTTCACTGACACTTCACTGAGGTACAAGGTTAAAGAGAAGAAGAAGAAGAAGTAATGTGACATAAGAAACATAGTCAGAAAC